TTGCTTATGAGAAGTGGGTGAAGTGACTGGAAATGGGGCAAGTGCTGAGTAAGCAGCATTGTTCCCTCTCCAACCCCTTCCCCCATGCAGCACCACAAAGCAGTGAAGTGGGCTGTCCTACCCTGGCAAACACCTGAGACTCCACCCCTTACAACGTAACAGGTGTGCCAAGACAGGGAGTCAAAGCAGCTGTACCTAATAAACAGAAACAAACACAGGGAGGCTGTCAAATTGAGGAGACAAGGAAATATGGCCCAAATGAAAGAACAGGTCAAAACTCCAGAAAAAATACTAAGCAAAACATAGATAGCCAAGCCATCAGATGCAGAGTTCAAAACACTGGTGAAAATGGTGCTCAGAGTACTCACTGAGTACGACAATCGCATAAGGGAAGAAATGAAGGTTACACTAAATGAAATAAAGAAAAATCTACAGGGAACCAACAGTGAAGGGAAGGAAGCCAGCGTTCAAATCAATGATTTGGAACATAAGGAAGAAATAAACAGTCAACTAGTACAGAATGAAAAAAACAAGAATTCAAAAAAACAAGGAGAGAATAAGAAGATTCTGGGATATCTCCAAATATGCCAACATTTACATCATAAGGATGCCAGAAGGAGAAGAGGAAGAGCAAGAAATGAAAACTTATTTGAAAAAATAATGAAAGAAAACTTCCTTAATTTGGTGAAGGAAATAAACATACAACACAGAGAATCTCAAAGAAGTTGAACCCAAAGAGGACACACCATAAAACATCATAATTAAAATGGCAAAGGTTAAAAATAAAGAGAGAATCGTAAGAGCAGCAAGAGAAAATCAGAGAGTTACCTACAAAGGAGTTCTCATAATACTATCAGCTGATTTCTCAAAAGAAATTTTGCAGGCAAGAAGAGACTGGCAAGAAGTATTCAAAGTCATGAAAAGCAAGTACCTACAACCAAGATTAGTCTATCTAGCAAAGCTATCATTTGGAATGAAAGGGCAGATAAATTGCTTCCTAGACAAGGTAAAGCTAAAGGAGTTCATCATCACCAAGCCCTTATTATATGAATGTTAAAGGGACTAATTTAAGGAAAGATCAAAACTATGAACCATAAAGTGACAACAGACTCTGAACTATCAACAACTAAATCAAGAAAAACAAAAACAAACAACTAGAACAGGAACAGAATTATAGATGTGGAGATCCTATGGAGGGTTATCAGCAGGGGTGGGGAATAGGGAGTTAGGATGAAAAAGGTACAGGGGATTAAGAGGCATACTTGATAGGTACAAAATAGATGGGGGGAAGTTAAGAATAATATAGGAAATGGAGAAGCCAAAGAATTTATGTGCACGACCCTTGGACATGAACTAAGGGGAGGGGGATTGCTGGAGGGAAGGGGAATACTGAGTGGAGAGGACCAAAGGGGAAAGAAAATTGGGGCAACTGTAACAGCATAATCAATAAAATATACTTAAAAATAAAATAAAATGAAATGAATCTCCCTTGTCATGTCTATTTGTGTAAACATAGAAAAAAGATTGGAAGACCATGCAGCACACACTGTCAACAGCAATAATGTCAACGGTAAGGAATCTATGTTTAAAGAGAGAGAAAGTGGAACTTTCAGTTTTTATTTTGTACATTTTTAGTAGAGGAGAAAAATCCAATCCATTAGGAAGCAGACTGTTACTTGTCCAATTGGGAAAGCAACATTTCTATTTCTGAATATTGATGAAGGATTGCATCAGCACCAATATAGATATTGTCTTATATGATCATATTTTTTCAATGCATACCAAACCAAAATGTAATTAAATAAACCATAGAAAGAGAGAATATATGTGACATGCATAACTGAAAAAATGTATAAATTATAGAAATATATATGTTTCAGATCTCTTTGGAAGAAGGGAAACTATAACTTACAAAACAGGTATGAAGTTAATACAATCATACCACTTACCTAAATGCCAAAGAAGGTGAACAGAAGAGATAACCATGGCATATTAAAATGAGAAAATACAATGTTATCACATGTAAATGCATATTTTTACTCTCACTGAAAAGAGCTGCACATTAAGCCACAAATAAAACTAATAATATTTAATTCAAGCTTCTTATTGAGTACATACCATGTATGTCAGACATTGTACTTTACATAGAGCACCTCAGTTTAATCCTTGCCCTTGATGTCATGAGACATAGATGGTGTACCCATCTCAGATCAGGAAAGAGAGGCATACAGAGGTTAAGTAACTTGCCCAAAGCCATATAACTGGTAAAAAGAGGAGCCAGGATTCAGACTCAGAACTGATTAAAAAACCCAAGCAATACTGTCCATAAATCAACAAGCAAGTGCTGGTAAGGATGTGGAGAAAAGGGAACCCTAGTGCACTGTTGGTGGGAATGTAGACTGGTGTGGCCACTGTGGAAAACAGAGTGGAGTTTCCTTAAAAAATTAGAAATGGAACTGTAGCAGAGCAAAAACGGAGGTTCAGCTACCTGTCACCACAGAAGCCAAATTTGTGAGGCAGATGTTGGTACAAAAGAAAAAGAGGTTTTATTCAGGTGCTGTGCAATCTTGGAGAATGGAAGACTCCTGTCTCAAAGCCCATCTTCTTTTCCTACCATGGAAACAATCCAACCATCCTCAAGCAAGACCAAGACAAAAGCAGTGTCCAGAGTTCCAGATCCATTTAAAAGTACAATGCTTTGGAATTCACAAACAGCTGCTAAGTGGTCTTGGTCCCCATCCAGGTAGCTTAGCTTGTTCCCAGCTTCTGCCTTTCAGGCTCCTCCTGGAGCCTGCATGTGGAGCCCACATGGCCATAGGCCATGCAGCTGCTAGGGGCCACCGGGTCACATACACCTAAGAGAGAGTGCAAATGCACCAGCGAATGCATCACCAGGTGGGCAAGGGAGATAGCAGGAGGCTTCTTTCTGGAGGCCATGGGTTGCATGGCTGATAAGGCCAATGTGGCCCATGGAGAGAACAGGCAAGTGCATGGTATGAGTGCAGGTCACAAACAAGAGCACCTCTTTGTTTTCCTGGGATTATATTAGCTTACATGTGGGGTGGACCAGGTGCTTTCTCAAAATAACCAATTCACTTCCCAAACTTTTGCATGCACCATGTGGGTCCACCTCCCTTCTTTCCCCATGCTAGACTGACAGACCTCTTTGATCAGCACCTCCCACTGCATCATTTTGATGTCCATGGTGCATGTGCCTGCCTTCCCCTGGTTCCACCCCCAATCTAGTCCTGGAGCAGGTAAGGTTTTTTTCTATTCAATTATCTGGCTAGCTTTTCATGTGCTCAGTGTAAGAACTTCCCTATGCCACCATCTTGGCCAATGGGAGACTCTCCCTGGCACTCCAACTGACTGTTTTATGGAATTGAACTGCCTTTTGACCCAGTGATCCCTATTCTGGGAATATATCCTAAGAATCCTGGAGCACTGATTAGAAAGAATATATGCACCCCTATGTTCATAGCAACATTATTTACAATAGCCAAGATCTGCAAACAGCCCAAGTTCCCATCAGTAGATGAGTGGTTAGAAAAACTGTGGTACATTTACAGAATGGAATACTACACAGCAGTAAAAAAGTAATGAACTCTTACCTTTTGGGACAGCATGGATGGAACTGGAGATTGTTATGCTAAGTGAAGTAAGCCAGTGAAAGTAAAATAAGTCATTAAAAGAAAAATACCTCATGGTCTCACTTATATGTGGAATCTAATGAACAAAATAAACCAATGAACAAAACAGAAACAAAAGCATGAATACATAGAACAGATTGACAGCTCTCAGGGATGGGGAGGGGGACCGGATAAAAAAAAAGTGAAGAGATTAGCCAAAGAACATACATGCATAACCCATGTACATGGACAACAGTATGGTGATGTCTTGAGGGAAGGGGAGTTGGGGCTGGGTAAAGGTGGGCAAAGATGAGGGGAAATGGGGACATTTCTAATAGTGTCAACAACAAAAAAAATTAAGTTAAAAAAAAGCCCAAGAAAGATATGACATATTCTATCTGATCTCCTAAAACTAAAAGTGTAAAGTCAATGTCTGTGGAGAAGTACACATCAGTAAAAGTGTGCTCACACACAGAGTGCCTGCTTTACTTTTTGAGTCACCTTTTTAACGTACCTCTAAGTACCAAACTAGGGCTTTATTCTAGTTCTACCCTCAAATAGAAATTTTCTGTGGCAGAGCCTACTTCAATCACCCTCACACCCAGAGACTGAGACTTCTGGGTTCTCAGTTAGAATTTTCAGGAAGCCATTGTGATGGCAGAGTTGGACTGTTGCCATGGTGCCCACAGGCCCTGGGGCTGGGGACTCCCAGCATGCCCTGAAGCCCAGCTGGCCCCTCGATTCCACCTCCTCAGTGCCCTGTGGCATCTTTATCACTTAGGCTCATCTACCTATTCTTCTCCCAGGCATTCACCTTCATTTCCTCAACTCCATCCCCTCATCCTTTTGCCTCACGGTTACTCTCTGGGGCCCCAGGCTCTTCTCACCCTTCCCTCCTTGTTTCTAAAACTTCCTCCTTCCACCTCTGACTTCTTTACCCTTCAATCGTCTCACTCTCTTTCCTCGGCATCTCCCTCCTCTGGCCTTTGTATTCTTCTCTTAGTTTTCTCCCTTACTCCTCTCCTCCTCTCTCCCTTTTGCCTTCACTTCCTCACTGCCTAACTTCTCCATTCCACTTTCTCTCTGCTTCATTTCTCCCCACCATTTTGTTCTTCTCACTGTTCTGTCTCCTCCCTTCTTTTCTCCCTTACACCATCATTTCTGTCACTCTCATCTTCTCATCCCTTCTTCCTCTCTGCTTGCTCACTCCCCATCTCTGCTTTCTTCCCAGCAGTTGAGCTGTGTTAGCTATACCAAGGGATAACGATGGAACTTGTTGAGGGAAAGGGAACAGTGACTCCTCATGAGAAGTATCTCAGCCCAAGACATAGAAGGAGGCCACAAAAGGGTAAAACAAAGGTGAAGAGGAAAAAAAAGAAGATAGATATGGAAGGCCTGAAGAAGGAAGTGGTCATGGTGAGAAAACCCAAAATGGATGATGAGTAGTTGCCCTCTGAAAACATTCCTTAACCCCAGCCTTTTAACATCTTCCCCCAAGTGTTTCTCCCTCCCCTGGAAATAACCAGGGTCATCACCTCTCCCTCAATGACTCTTCTATCCCCTCAGAATGATCACAAATTAACCTTGGAACAGCTGAGCACCAAGTATTCCGTGGACCTGACAAAGGTGAGTGAAGGAACTCCCTGAGGGAAGCCACCAGACCTCTTACCCTTAACCTCTGCCCAGACAGGTTTCACAGGCCACACACACATGGCCAAAGGTGATAATGTTAACTGTTCCAAAGGGAGCTCAGAATTAGATTAGAGAATAAAACCATGAGTTAAAGCAGAGCTACTCATACTTTTGTCCCTCGGACTCTTACACTCATTAATTATCAAGGAAGCCAAAGAGCTTGACTTATTTGGGTTACATCATCCATAATTATCATATTAGAAATTAAAATTGAGAAATTTAAAATTATTTCTGAATTCATTTTAAAACAAGAGTAAACTCATTGTATATTAGAATAAATAATTTTATGACAAATAACTTTTTCAAAATAAAAAAAATTAGTGGAATTTTAGATTTTTTTAAAAGATTTATTTATTTATTTTTAGAGAGGGAAGGGAGGGAGAAAGAGAGAGAGAGAAACATCAATATGTGGTTGCTAGGGGCCATGGCCTGCAACCCAGGTATGTGCCCTGACTGGGAATCAAACCTGTGATGCTTTGGTTCGAAGCCTGCACTCAATTCACTGAGCTATGCTAGCCAGGGCCTGCATTTTAGATTTTTACAAGCCTCTTTAATGTCTAGCTTATTAACAGAAGACAGCTGGATTCTCATATATTTTTGGTATTAAATCTGTTGTGATATCATGTGTCATGCAGCCTTTGGTAAATCCCATTATACAATCAAGAGAATGAGACTGAAAAAGACAAACAACAATTTAGTATTATTATGAAAATTGTTTGAACATGTGGACCCCTCATGAAAGGGTCTTGGGACTCCATATGTCCCCAGACCACACTGAAAACCACTGGCATAACAATAAAATCATACATTACTACTATTACTATTACTATAGTAATACTAATTCATCCTTTTGCCTCATCCTTTTGCCTCATCCTTTTGCCTCACCCCTTTAATCCCTCTTGGCCACTTCAGGGGTGGAAGGAGGAAGTTTTAGAAACAAGGAGGGAAGGGTGAGAAGAGCCTGGGGCCCCAGAGAGTAACTGTGAGGCAAAAGGATGAGAGGAAAGGATGAGTAATAGTAATAGTATAGTAATAGTAATAGTAATTACTATACTATTACTATGCTGCTGCTACTATAGCCACTATTACAATGACCACAGATAAAACCTTGAATACAAGCCTTCAAAATCTAATCTCCTCTTAAATTTAGAATTTCTTTGCTGGAGGGGCTTCCTCTGGTAACCAAGGAGGAGTATAAGGCATTTATCTTGTTTTTATTAAAATTGTGTATTTTTCCATGGGAAGTTGAGAAGTGGCCAAGAGGGATTAAAGAGAGTTTATTTTATAATACTTTAGTAGGTTCTAATATCATTTTCTTTAAGAAGAAAAATACACAAGCTTGCACAAGGCTAAAGTGAGAATCTATGCATTTGTGTATTTAGCTGATTTTTTCCTATTTATAAGCAAGAGTCAAAGGGTGAACAGTCCATATGCTATTGACATTCTGTAATGTGTCCCATTATTACATTAGCCTTGCACTTTATTTCTATATTACAAATTATTCCCATTAGAGTTAGAGCTCCATAAGCATAAAGGACCATTCTTATTGATTTTGGTATCCCTACCAGAGTACCAGGCCCAAGATGGGTGTTCAGAAAGGTTTGTGAATCAATCTATAAATTCAAAATTCATCCTGTGTAAGCATGCTCAGTAATATCCCTTCTATGACACAAATTTTAAAATCTCACTTATCCAGGAAAAACTTCTAGTCCAACCCTAAGAGAACTTTATCGATCTCTAGACCCTTCTTGGGGCTATAATGGCAACTCTGAGTTTTGAAGCCAGGTTTTCCTTTGCTATAGCTATTTATTTTTTCATGATTTTCTACCCATTCTTATTTCTTCTTCACACAGGGCCTTAGCCCTAAAGAGGCACAAGAAATCCTGACTCGAGAAGGACCCAACACTCTTACCCCACCCCCTACCACTCCAGAATGGGTCAAATTCTGTAAACAACTGTTTGGTGGCTTCTCCATCCTCCTGTGGATTGGTGCCATTCTCTGTTTTATGGCCTATGGCATTCAGATGTATTTCAGTGAGCACGCTACCAAAGATAATGTGAGTCTATTCAACTACTACTGTCCAGCGCAGTCTCTGCTTAGCCCCTGACACTCTCCTGCACACCAGCCTAGCATTCCTGAAGTGCTCTAACCCAATCTCTAGTACTCTCAGGACTTTCTAAGGGAACCCTCAGTGCCTCCTGGTTTCCCTGATCTTTTCTCTGGGAAGTTACTGATTCAGCTCACTGAGATGCATGGTTTCCCCCAGAAACTTGCTCTCCTTTGATTATCTTCCCAAATGACCATCATAGCACTTTGCAGTCTCTTTCTCTTTTCTAGAATTTGAATCTCTTCACCTCTTTCCTCCCCATCTCCCTTACTATCTGCCTCTGTGCACCCCACAAATAGCCTTCTTGGAGAGGACCTGGGATTTTGCTGGCCCCTCGCTCTAGCTCAGGAGTTGCTTCACCCAGGAAGCCGTGTAAGCCAGCCCTGTCTCAGATTGCACTGCCCCTGTACTCTCCAGCTGAGTCCAATGGTTTATTGCACCTGGAGAAATAGCTATTCTCCTTGCAATTTTCTGAGGATGAAGAGGAAGAAAAGGATCTACTGATTAGCTCTTTCTTTCCCTACCCCCAGCTGTACCTGGGCATTGTACTTGCTGTTGTGGTCATCACCACTGGCTGCTTCTCCTATTATCAGGAGGCCAAGAGTTCCAGAATCATGGAGTCTTTTAAGAGTATGGTGCCTCAGGTAGGATTAGTGTGGGAGAATCTAGTGAGTGGAAGTATAGAATACAGGAAAATGCACAATTATGAAGTCCCAAGAAAATTATATCCTACAATGAGTGAGCTGAGTGAGACTGGTTATGACACTGAGGCTCACTTCATTTTTTTCTTTATCTGGCTTTAAAAGTACCCTGAGGATCAAGTAGAATAATTGGTAAGAAGAAAACAGACAGGAGGATGTTAAGAATAGTATAAGAAAGGGAGAAGCCAAAGAACTCATATGTACAATCCATGGACATGAACTAAGGTGGGGGTACTGCTGGAGGGAAGGGGGTTACCAGGTAGAAGGGTGGCAAAGGGAAAAAATTGGGACAATTGTTAACAGCATAATCAATAAAATATACTTTTAAAATTGGAGTTTTAAGTGGAAATAAAATTTTGGAAAATTCAAAACAAAACAAAAACATGTACCCTGAGAAAGGCAGAGCATCACCCATGAAGTGGTCTGCTACAGAATGCATAATTTGAATATACGGAGTATAATATGAAGCCCCAAATGAGAATGTTCTATTTTTTAAAAAATGGCAAAAGAGATTGGAGAGGCTAGTTGTTCAAATGTTGACAACCTTAAAGAAAAAGTACAACTGTGGAAATGTTCCAGATTAAAAGAGGGTGAACAGACAAGACAACTAAATGCTATGCCTGGCCTTAGACCTCTGCACTGGAAGAGAAAAAATATACTGTAAAAGATATAAGAGTAAAAGATATATTGGGTCAACTGACAAAACAGAAATGCATACAGATTAAAATATTGTGTCAATGTAAAATTTACTGAAATTGATAACTGTATTATGGTTATTGGATATCCTACTTCTTGGAAAATGAACACTGAAATATGTAGAATAAAAGATCATGATGTGTGTAATTTACCCTCAAATGGTTCAAGAAAAAAATTATTCACATATACCCATAGAGACAAAGGACAAATGATAAAGCAAATATGATAAGATTTTAATAGGTGAGCTAGGTAAAGGTTATACTGGTGTCTTAGGTACAATTTTTATTCTTGAACCTTTCTAAAAGTTTAGATAATTTTCAGATAAAAAGGTGTTTTTGAGAACCCAGAAATAATATGACAGTAGAAAGAGGTTTCTAGGCACAGGTCTAGAAACTTGGAAAGGAACAAGTTCCAAAATTTCAACCACTTGATGATGCTCTAGCATTATAACCCAGGATCATCATCTCCCTTGAGCAAGAGTTCTGAGGAAATGTTTTTGGTAGAATGAACTAGAAGTTTGGAAACTAACAGCTTTTGCTTTCTAACAAACCACCCCAAGACTCAGTGGCTCAAAACAACAAACATTATTTCTCACAGTTCTATGGCTGGGCTGTTCTTCTGATCTGAGTTGAATTTAGCTGATGCTGGAATGTCTAAAATGACCTCATTCACATGTCTGGGGCCTCAGCTGAGATTACTGGGGCCAACTAGGGCCTTTCTCTTGATGATCTATCTTCCTCCAGGAGGCTAACATGGGCTTGTTGGCAGAGTGGTTCCCAATGACAACAGGGCAAGCCCCAATGTGCAAGCACTTTTAAGCCTCTGTTTGCATTACAATTGCTAATGTCCTGTGGGCCAAAGCAAGCGATCTATAGTCAAGCTTAAGTGTAGGGTTGGAGAGATAGACCCCATCTCTTAGTAGGAGAAGCATCAAAGTCACAATGCAAAGAGCTCTGCAAACAGCAATGGTAAGAATTTGCAATCTACCTTTCAAGAATTATATTTTTGTACACCTAACAATTATATCATGCTATTAACCAGTGTAACCCCAATACATTTAATAACTTTAAAAAAAATGATATGGTAAGTGACAATGTAAGAAAAGAGAGTCAGAAAAGGAGACCAGGAATAGGAGCAGAATGCGGGGAGCAGAAAGCTTTGGAAATGACCCTGTACTATCTTCCCACAGAAAGCTCTGGTAATTCGAGGTGGAGAGAAGATGCAGATCAATGCACAAAATGTGGTGGTAGGAGACCTGGTAGAAGTGAAGGGTGGAGACCGAATCCCCGCTGACATTCGGCTAATCTCTGCACAAGGATGTAAGGTGAAGGGATGTGGAAAGCTAGGAGAGGGAGCCAAGCATGGCTTTGAGGCACTGTGTTGACCTTGGATCAGTGAAAGTATGATATTATTACTTAGAACCTTTAGAAGTTACAAGTGTAGATTTGAGGTTAGAGACAATAAGGTGCAGGTTTGTAAGTTTATGTTTCTCTCTGCATGTCAATAATGATGATGTTGGTAGCAGATAAAGCTGTGTCATCTTTACAAAAGAATTTTTTTTACCCAGTGCTCACTTTACGACTCATCCTCCCTCCCATCTTAGGTGGACAACTCATCCTTGACAGGAGAGTCAGAGCCCCAAACCCGTTCCCCTGATTTCACCCATGAGAACCCTATGGAGACCCAAAACATCTGCTTCTTCTCCACCAACTGTGTGCAAGGTGAATATCACATCATAAATATCCTAGATTCAGAAGTAGAGGTTGAAAGATTTCAGGAAGTCTCTATCTTCTAAGTATAGTAGGTTGGGTAACAGCTGGTAAGAAGTAGCCTAGGCTCTCCATCATTCATGAGTTGTATGACATTTCATAAAAGGTCAAAACCATCATTTGCACAATAGTGACACTAAAAATTGCTACCTTATAGATTTTTTGTGTGGATTAAAGGAATAATGCACATTAAATGGTTAGCACAAGGCCTAACACATTGTAATTGCCCTATTATTATTCTAGTTAGCAAATCGACTATGCTTTGTGAGCTGAATATAACACAGAGGGGAGGAAAATTATTCAACTCTGCTAGGTCTTTCTTCCCCTGAGGTAAACCCTATCTTCTCACTATTCCAAAAGAGGATAGGGACATTGAAATTTAACTTCCCAGAGGTGCCATTCACGCTTTGGTTTTGCTCCTTCTTTTACATCTTTTCCCCGAAAGGATGTCTGCATAACTCTCTGGAACACACATTAAAATCATTATTCATACTTAAGAATAAATGTTTAAATATCTAAGACATTGCTTTTTTAATTGAATGCCTAGTATGTGTCAAGTGTTACAGATAACCAATTCTCATAACACTATATAATAGATACTACTTTTATTTTACACATGAAAGACTAAGGTTTAAAGAAATTAAGTGTAGTATCCAAGAGCAACACTCAACAGAAAAGAGGAGGATCAAGGATTCTAAAGCAGGTTTGTCTACAAAAGTACATGCTCTTTTCACAGACTCTCCTCTGGAATAAAGCTTTCTAGTGACCTCTCTGGTGATAAAATTAGTTTATTTGGAATTACCTTAAAGGATAAGGGTAACATTGAGAGTAATCTTAAGACTGAAGAAGAATCCAACCAGAAAATAAAATATAGTTTTAAATAATTTTTTTAAATGTGATAGACAGTTGCAAGCTTGCAAGTTAGCAAGCTTCCTCCAAAATCACTAGATTTCCATTATCAAATTTTAGAAAGAAATTTGCTCAAATTTCCTTTTCCAAAATAAGTTTTTCATCAGCAAAGTATATGCTTCAGATAAGGGGGAAAGTGGGTGATAGCATTCCATTTGAGAAACAAGGATCTGGCTAGAACAGAGGAGGCTTCTGCACGAGATTAGAGGGATCCAAGACGTGGCCAGAGTGGTGGAGCTAGGTTGAAGGAACTCTTGACTATTAAATTGAGGAATTTCTATGCAATCTGAAAACTAGTAGCATAACTGTAACCTTTATCCTAAAGCTTTGCCTCCCTGCTGTGGACTCTGACAAAGCTGCCGGTATTGTACTAACATCTCTCTTTGAGTTCTTAAGCATCTTCACGGGGGACCCAAGCTATTTCTCTGGCATTATATAAAAGGTTATAATGGGCTATAGGAGGCTTGACCTTCTTAACCTTCCCCAAGATTGACATCAACCCACCCTGTCTCTAAACACATTGGGATTAGTTATTAAATCCCTTTCTCCAAGCATGGAGGAATGAAAATGAAGAGGTAGACTAAATTATGGAATTCTTTATAGATACAGGTAAAATGGATATAGGTGACTCCATACTCTACTCCCTCCCAAAATATAAAAGCCCTTTCAACACCTCTAAGTTACTTTAGCATCTTCTTTTCACAAGGCTCAATAAATGCCTCTGGCAACCAGTCTGAAACTCAGCTACAGAGTACCTCAGACTGTGACACTTTCCAGAACCTCCACCTAACATTGACCCTGCCTGCCTTCTGTCTGAGCAGGACCCTCTTCTGAGACTCATCTAGCTGAAGGTGACTTTGGAAATATATGTTAGATGTTGTGGGAGCTGCCAGGTTGGAGCTGCCAGATTAGAGCAGGCCCTCCAAATTACACATGTGATTTTACATCTGCCCTTCTGGAGACCCTCAATTCATCTAAATAAAATAAATAAATAAACTAATATTTGAGTGCCTACTATATACCCAACCCTCTTCTAGATTCTTTTAAAAACTTTTATTCCTCATAGTTTTGTAAGTGTTTTTATCTCATTTTAAAGAACAGGAAACCTATGTCTCAGAGAATTTAAGTAACTTGCTCCCGGGCAAACAGCTGGAGCATTTGAAAGTTGAATTTCCAGCCCTGAGATTTTCTCATTCCAAAATAAGTACTATTTGTATAATATGTTGTTTTAGGGGGCAATTCTGGCTGTGACTTTAATGGTAGGAATTTCAGCCATTATGGTAAAGCAGGAAGAATTATTTTGAGTAAACAATCTTGCTGAGTCTCTCATTCCAAGCCTTGTAGGTAAGTGATCTGCATCAGGTGTGTGTAAAGCTGAACGAACATGATGTCTCAGCTCCCCTTCTGATTTGGAGCAGTGCTGGTGGAGGGAAGAGCACAGTAGCCTAACTGTAATGGCCTATCCTACCCAGCAGGGGCAGACTGGCTCTAGCCAGCAAAGCAGGGAGGGGGCTCAGGTAGAGCAGTGTTTCTCACGTCAACACTATTGACATTGAGGCAGAGTAAGTCCACATATGGGGAGAGGAGGGCTTTCCTGGGGATGGCAGATGGTTAGAGGCATCCCTGCCCTCTACATACTAGCTGCTAGTAACAACCCCTTCCCACCCAGCTGTAGCAACCAAAACTGTCTCCAGACATTGCCAAATGTCTCCAATTTGCCCCCATTTGAGAAGCATTGGACTAGAGGACAAGAAGATACCAGAACAAAGGACTCCAGCAGATCGGTAACTACCAGAGATCTAGAAACTTCCAACTACTGAGGGCAAAATAAGAAATATATACACAATAGAAGACATTTAGATTAAATATAATGAAAACCTTCACAGTAAAGACACTTGGGCAATAAAACTGGGTATATATGGAGAACTGTGAAATATCTTCAGAGATTTTTTTAGACTAGGAGACCCTTATTTGTATAAACTAAATATGAGGAGACTAGAATATAATGACCACTCAGAGGTTCTTGAGTTTCCACCTTGTTTTTAACCGCTGACAGTTTTTGTAGAAACCATACCTAACATTCCTCCCAACTCATACTTCCCCCTTCATCCACAGGAACAGCCCAGGGCATCGTGATTGCTACAGGAGACTCCACAATGATGGGCCGTATTGCCACCCTGACATCAGGCCTGGCAGTTGGCAAGACCCCCATTGCTATTGAGATTGAACACTTTATCCATCTGATCACCTCAGTGGCCATCTTTCTTGGTGTTGTTTTCTTTGGGATCTCCATTATATTGGGCTATGGCTGGCTGGAAGCTATCGTTTTCCTTATTGGCATCATCGTGGCCAATGTCCCTGAGGGGCTGCTGGCCACTGTCACTGTGAGTAGCCAGGGTAGAGGGTGGCCTCCGGGCAGACAAACCACTCCAGGAATATGAAATCACTAGTGTATGTTTCATTGCCAAACCTCTCAAGTGCAGAGTATTCCTAATGTGTATATAGATGTCAGAACATTTAGCTTCCAAATTACATTTACTTCCTCTACTCATATTTTCTGGTGCCTTCTTTTCTTCTCACTGAGAAAGGAAGTGAGTTACAATACAGAAAACATTAGATTTTAAGTCTCAGGGAGTGAATTCTTGTCCTGGCTGGTGAACTTGTCCAAATCACTTACCTCCAAGCCTCAATTTATTCATCAGTTTATAGAGGAAGACTAACTTAGAATCATAGAATTTACTGGAAAGGACACCCAAACCCACATAAATTCAACTCTCCAACCAATGCTGATTATCCTGTACAAAGTCTGTGAGAGATGATGATTGTTTCTAGTCATGAGAAGCCCACCCCTTTTTGCCTCAGCTCATTTCATTGTTGGGTTGCTCTAGTCTAATTGCATTGTGTTGAGCAGAAATATAACTTTTTGTTTAGTCCCGGTTTTCCCATTTGAAGAAACATAAAATAAGTCAATTCTCTCTCTTCTATAAACCACCCTTTAGATTTTTGACAGTAGCCATTATGTCCCCTGAAACTCTCCAGGTAGGAGGTGAAATAACAATCCCTTTCCCTTAGCCATGTAGCATGCATGGTCTTCAGGCCCCTTGTCTTGCTGATCACCTGTTTGAGGTATGCTCTAGTTTACTAAAATAAAAATGAGAATAATACTCAAGGTATGGTTGAACTAGCACAAAAACATCAGCAATAGTGATATTACATAAATAAAACATAACCCCATGATTGGAATTCTGCACTTACATAACCACATCCTAAAAACTCATTAGCTTTTAAAACAACCTGCCACACACCTGACTTTTTTTGAATGTACGGTCAACATAATTTATAGTCAACAAAAACTTTCTGATTTAAATGACTCCTCAACTCATTTTTAGTGCTGCAATATTTATTCTCAATTTCATCATTCTCTCCATTGTTTTTTAAAAAAATATTGGTACAATCCCCTCTCCATACATAGAATCTTATACCACAATAAAAGATTTGCTATTAATGTAGTCCTTGGAAACACTGGACCTGAGAAAATGGTATGGCCTGAACTTGAATGAAAAAGGGGCTGCTGAAGAGAAAAGATGTAAGGATTATAAGGGAGTGGAATATGTCAAGGAAAATAAGGAAATCATTCTCTATGACACCCTTGTAAATAAACACACTGTTTTTAAAACTCAATCTTAAAGCACAAACTAAGTCACTTTGCTAATTTATTTTACTGTAGCCACAGATGAAGTTTTTAAAGACTAGGTAGGAACATAAAGGAAATTAGTACAAAAAATTAAAATAGAAAAAAAATCAGGTTTCTAAAACACAAAGTAGTGTGAGTAGCCAGTATCTTCTTTCCATTTATTCCTTCACTTCTTTGTGACCATAGGTGTGTCTGACGCTGACAGCCAAGAGCATGGCAAGGAAGAACTGTCTGGTAAAAAACCTGGAGGCAGTGGAGACCCTGGGCTCCACCTCTACCATCTGCTCTGACAAGACAGGCACCCTCACCCAGAACCGCATGACTGTTGCCCACTTATGGTTCGATAAGACCATCTATAAGGCTGACACGAGTGAAGAACAGATTGGTGACTAGTGGCATTGGTGGGCCAAGAGTGAAAGGATGTGGGGAAATGTGATGAGTGAGCTGAGAGGGAATGGTGAGTCCAAAGAAAAGATATCTGGAAAGTGAGGGAGAAATGGAAGGTGTGTAGGAAAGATGTCTCTGTGAAGTTTTGAGGTACAGAACAGGATGAAAGTAACTCCCTGCTTTAAACTCTCTTCTCCCCTGCTCATGGTTTATTCTTTCTCCCTAGGGAAAACATTTGCCAAGAGCTCTGATACTTGGTTTATCCTGGCCAGAATCGCTGGCCTCTGCAACCGGGCTGAATTTAAGGCTGCTCAGGAGACCCTTCCCATAGCTAAGGTGTCAGGCCTAAGGGGGTAGTGGGTACCTCAGTGTCCAGGGCATAACTAACTCTCTCCCAAAAAATTATCTTTCCTGGTGCTCAGTGATTTCTCCAGACACCCTCTCCCACTCTGCCCCTCTCCTTGTTCCATGGGCTTATATACAAAACCCCATTCTGCCAGCGGGCAACAGCAGGGGATGCTTCTGAGTCAGCCCTTCTCAAGTTCATCGAGCAGTACTACAGCTCTGTGAAGGAGATGAGAGAGAAAAGCCCCAAGGTGGCAGAGATTCCCTTTAATTCTACCAACAAGTACCAGGTACAAAACCAACAAAGGTAGGAGAATGGTTGTTGGGGGGGGGTCATCTTTTGGTAAAATGGGAGCTTTGTGGCCAACCTCACCTCTAAGCAGAAGGATAGAGACAGTGGATAACCAGCATCCCAACTAGGAAGAAGGCTCACCTCAAGAGAAGGTGACAAATAGGTACAGGAGGGAGCAGGTGATAAAAGGAGAGGTATTTGGTCCTAGAGAGAGCTCAAGACTACACCACTTGTGAAGAGAGCAAGTCATAAAAGGCTCTTCTATGGCTGGTTGGTGAAAGTTACATTATAGTCCCTGTAGCTGTTAGGAGGAATCTTTGTCATTACTGCAAAACTAGCCACTGCAGAATAAGGCTAGATTTACATGACATTTCCTAGATGCTCCTCATTTCTTAGTCATCAATTTTCCTTTTGATTCCATGCCTACAATTCTAGCAACTGCCATCAAGTAGGAGATCAGGGGTCTCCAGAGTGTTTGTGAACAGGAAGCACAATATTTTTCTCCCACATGAGAATCCTAGCACAATTTGAAGAGACAGTTATGGTGGAAAGTTGGGCATGGTAGCATTGACATGACCTCAACTCTACCAACTAAGGTTCAAGTTCTATGGGACAATTGTGATTTGCTCAGGGGAAAGGGCTTCTCTGAGTTCATGCACTACTTGTAAAGGTCAGACACTCAGATGCAGTAACAAAGAAGAAATGAGACTCCCAAAAGTCAGTTTTGTTTTTTATCTTAAAAAACACATAGTAGTCAGTAGCAACCCAAGTTGCCCATCAATAGAAAACTGTATAAAAAAGTTGTGGTACATATATACAATGGAGTATTACTTGGCAAAAAAAAAAAAAGAGAGAGAGAGAATGAAATCTTACCACTTGTGACAGCAGGGATGGACTTAGAGGGTATTATGCTAAATAAAATAAATCAGTCAGAGAAAGACAAACACTATGTAATTTCACTTATATGTGGAGTCTAAAAAATAAAATAAACAAACAAAATTAAAACAGGACTCATAGATACAGAAAAAAGACTTATGGTTGCCAGAAAGGAGGGGGCTTAAGGGGCTGGGTAAAAAGGTGAAAGGATTTAGAAGTACAAGTTGGTAGTTACAAAATAGTCAAAGCATAAGGAATATAGTCAATAATATTGAAATAACTGTGTATGGTGCCAAGTGGGTACTGGAAACATTGGGGATAACGCTTTGTAAAGTATATAATTGTCTAACTACTATGATGTACACCTGAAACTAATAGAAAATAACATTTTTAGCCCTGGCTGGTATAGCTCAGTGGATTGAGCGCGGGCTGCGAACCAAAGTATCGTAGGTTTGATTCCCAGCCAGGGTACATGCCTGGATTGCAGGCTATAACCCCCAGCAACTGCACATTGATGTTTCTCTCTCTCTATCTCCTTCCCTTCCCTCTCTAAAAATAAATAAATAAAATCTTTAAAAAAAATAAAGTTGTTTAAAAAAAGAAAATAACATTTTTTAAAATGGTAAAAATAAGAGCAGGAATTAGTGTATGAACATTTTTAATCATAAGAAAATATTCAGAATAATTTTATGACAATATATGTGCAAACTTAAATAAAATAAAAATTTCCTGAAAAAAAAACACGTAGTGCTCATGTCCACAGCACATATACTATAAAATTAGAACAATATGGAGAAGATAGCATGGCCCCTGGATAACATGCATAATTGTTCCATATTTTTATATTTGAAAGTTGCTTAAGAGTTTTCATCACTAAAAAATTTGTAACTGAAAATAATAACAAAATAACAAAAGCTATATAGATTTTTAAAAGCCCAATCACTTATATTTTCACATTGAACACTGAATAAGTAAGAGTTAAAGAAATAGATCCATAGACTTTTTTGTTTCAATTGGCTTTTAGTTTGTGTAATAAGATAGGTCACCTAGGCCCAAACCACAAATGTATTTCTACTGTTTTCTGACATTTAGTGGTCTCACTAACCAGACAGGAATTTTGTGCTAGACAGGGCCCAATTAAAGCCTTTGACCAGAAAGAATTAGGTATCTCTCCCTCTAAATGATTAAAAATAAGAGCAAAGTATAGTTATTACATTTGTTGGGATGTCCAACAAAATAGCAACTTTACCCAAAGTTGTTATTACTTTAAAAGTTATTACTTTTTCTGAACTATGGAATATTAAGTTCAAACAGCAAGCTCCTCTTCTGGTGCCTCCAGTGTGCTCAGCTACCCTTGCTTGGGCTTGCTTAGAGGAGGCTCCAGAAAACCCCTCTTGCCAGCTTGCTCTTAGGGTAGTTAGAGGCTCTAGTCTGCAAGAGATCTCTTAGCCTTCTGATCTTTTGCAAAATTTGGTCCTTTTTCCCCTCTGAGATGAAAATGAAAAAAAGAAGTTTCTCTGTTCTGGTATTTCCAGATTTTTCCCATTTTTTCCTATAATTTTCTATCAAGATGTGATTTTTCTGTGACCAAGTTAATAGTTTATGTAGGCCTTTCTCTCATCTCTAACAATCTCCAATAAATTGTCTACAAATATGTATTAGGCACTCAGAAAATTAAGCTTTACAAAACTTTACAAGCTTCTGCTTTAAAAAGTTAAGGTTTTTCTCCTTAACTGCTTAAGCATATTCTGAATATAACTGAACACTTTTTGAAAGTTTCTAATGAAATGGTTTTGACCACTTTACACACACAGGTTGCCCATCTTGCTTATCCTTCAAGCAGTGCGGTCTGGGCTTTGCTGTACCAGCTTATTTCCTTTCTTTATTTTTATTTAAAAAATTTTTATTATACATTATTTTTGTTGTATTTTTTCCATTACCATTTATCCCCACCATATCCTTTTCTGCCTCCATCCACTCTCCACTCCCCCTGCCCACAATCCAGCTCATTTCCTTTCAATGTGCTAATTTTGTTACCCAACAGGCCATGCAGCAGAAATTTCCTGTGGATCATAAAAGGAACTCCACAGATAGTTCCTTTTCACAGATCAGAGATCAAAGAAAAATGCAAAACCTAAGTTGACCTTATTTCTCTTTCCTCCTCGTCTGTTGTCTCCTCAGGTTTCCTTTATGAAAATGCCCTTCCCTCTCACCCCAGCCACATTAGCCCTGACTCACATTCAACCCAGACCACCTACCTGCACCATCCAGATTCTCTCAAGCAAGGGACTTCTTATGAATTTAGGAGAGAGTAGAGAAGGGGCTAGAAAGGCTAACCGATTTCTGAAATGTACTTTGGAGTTTTTAACTTTTTTTTGCAAATATTAACTATCATAAAAACTCAATGAAGTAGGCAATGCATATCCTTTTACATTTCATCAAAGGCACTAAGAAGTCAAATGGATTGACTTGAGGTCATGAAGCATTCCAGCTGTCTCTAGACACAGGTCTTTGGGTTCTAAGCTTTCTCTCCTGCCCACTCTGCAGTGTTTATCAGGCTCACCCCTTCTGCTCTATAGTCATCCAGGCAGAGAGGAAGCAGAAAAAGTGAGTGCACCTGCTTCCGCCCTCAGCTTCTAGTGGGGCTGAGAAGATGGGGATTTATGTGCAAATAGTGCCAGCCTGAGGCTCTTGGAAAAGAAAGGGGACTGACCATGAGTCCAATCTGACTGGAGGGAGGGGGCTGCCTTGGGGTTCTGGCACAAAGGAAATGGAGGGGTATGAAACAGATTGTCTGTCTGTTTCATCCTCAAAAACCTTTCCCTTGCTTTTTTACCCTGACCCTACTCTCTCTCTCGTTCCACTAGTGCTTTCTTTCTTCTCCCTAGATGTCCATCCACCTTCGGGAAGACAGCTCCCAGGACCACGTGCTGATGATGAAGGGGGCTCCTGAGAGGATCATGGAGTTTTGCTCTAGTTACATGCTGAATGGGCATGAATACCCAATTGATGACGAAATGAAAGAAGCCTTCCAAAATGCCTACTTAGAGCTGGGAGGTCTGGGGGAACGCGTGCTAGGTAAGGGAGCTGCTGGAGAAGCCTTTGCAAGAATGACATCAAAGTGGTTCTGATTTATGGGGTGAAAAATCTAGGATGTTGGGGTGAGTGGGATAGGGATATAGATAATGAAGTGACTATTGGTCCCTTCTGTTCTGTCTCTCTCCAGGGTTCTGTTTCTTGAATCTTCCTAAAACTTTCTCCAAGGGATTCAAGTTTAATACAGATAAAATCAATTTCCCTATGAATAACCTTTGTTTTGTGGGGCTCATATCCATGATTGACCCTCCCCGAGCTGCAGTGCCTGATGCTGTAGGCAAGTGTCGTGATGCAGGAATTAAGGTAAATCCTTCACCACCCCAGAAGCCCCACCTGTCACAAATTGGAACAATAGAAAACCTTGCATACAGTTAGTTCTTAATAATCTTGGTTTAAATGATTTTGAAACTGCTGAATGGTCAGTGTTTGTGCGGCCTGTGACTACCAGAACCAATAAGTAGAGACAAGGATTGAATGTCTATAGCGCCTTATTCAGAAGACCAGCAATCTGAGAAAGATGGCAGGTTCTGTATCTTAAAGGATCATCTTACATCTCAAGCTGACCTTTTTTATAAGAGGGGATAGGTAAAGGGTTTGGAATTCAGGGAAAAAATTAATCAGATAAAAGCTGCAGTCTGGATATTTCCCTAGCATGCCTTCACCTGATGGCTGGAGATTCTTAATCTGCATCCTGGTTGGTGGACATTCTTTCCCTGAAGCACAATGGCTCAGATACCATCTTAATTGCTTGCATTCTCCTGGGGCACAAAGACCAAATTTCTTGTGGGTCTTCTGGAGTCAGAGTAGGTCGGGTCATACATTCCAGTTCCTGGATTAATAGCTTTCTAAATGCATTAATCACCAAGCCTTTTTTAAAAGTATATTTTATTGATTATGCTATTATAGTTTTCCCATTATATTTTCCCCTTTATCCCTTTCTATCCTGCACCCCCATCCCTCCATCATTCCCCCCACTTAGTACATGTCCATGGGTCATACATATAAGTTTTTGACTTTTCTGTTTCCTATACTTTTTTAACCTCCCCTCATCTATTTTGTACCTACCAATTATGCTTCTTATTCCCCATAACTTTTCCCCCATTCTCCCTCCTCCTCCTCCCCAGTTATAGCCCTCCACGTGATCTCCATTTCTGTGATTTTGTTCCTCTTCTAGGCCTTTTCTTAGTTTGCTTTTTTGTCTTTTAGTTCAGTTGTTGATAGTTGTGAATTTATCATTTCACTGCTCATAGTTTTGATCTTTTTCTTTTTCTTAGCTAAGTCCTTTTAACATTTCATATAATAAGGGCTTGGTGATGATGAATTCCTTTAACTTGACTTTATCTGGAAAGAATTTTATCTGCCCTTCCATTCTAAATGAAAGCTTTGCTGGATAGAGTAATCTTGGATGTAGGTCCTTGCCTTTCATGACTTTGAATACTTCTTTCCAGCCCCTTCTTGTCTGCAAGGTTTCATTTGAGAAATCAGCTGATAATCTTATGGGAACTCCTTTGTAGGTAACTGTCTCCTTTTCTCTTGCTGCCTTTAAGATTTTCTCCTTATCCTTAATCTTAGGTAATAGAATTATGATGTGCCTTGGTGTGTGCTTCCTTGGGTCCAACTTCTCTGAGCTTCCTGGACTTCCTGGAAGTCTATATCCTTCACCAGATTGGGGAAGTTCTCCTTCATTATTTTTTTAAATATATTTTATTGATTATGCTATTACAGTTGTCCCATTTCCCCCATTCATTCCCCTCCACCCTGTACCCCCTCTCCCACCCACGTTCCCCCCCTTTAGTTCATGTCCATGTGTCATACTTATGAGTTCTTTAGCTTCTACATTTCCCATACTATTCTTGCCCTCCCCCTATCTATTTTCTACCTACATTCTATGCTACTTATTCTCTGTACCTTTTCCCCCCTCTCTCCTCCTCCCACTCTCCTGTTGCTAACCCTCCATGTGATCTCCATTTCTGTGATTCTGTTCCTGTTCTAGTTGTTTGCTTAGTTTCTTTTGGTTTTGCTTTAGGTGTGATTGTTAATAATTGTGAGTTTGCTGTCCTTTTACTATACATGTCTTTTCTTTATCTTCTTTTCTTAGATAAGTCCCTTTAACACTTCATAAAATAAGGGCTTGGTGATGATGAACTCCTTTAACTTGACCTTATCTGAGAAGCACTTTATCTTCCCTTCCATTCTAAATGAGAGCTTTGCTGGATAGAGCAATCTGGGATGTAGGTCCTTGTCTTTCATGACTTGGAATATTTCTTTCCAGCCCCTTCTTGCCTGTAAGATCTCTTTGGAGAAATCAGGTGATAGTCTAATGGGAACTCCTTTGTAGGTTACTGTCCCCTTATCTCTTGCTGCTTCTAGGATTCTCTCCTTCATTTTTACCTTGGCTAATGTAATTATGATGTGCCTTGGTGTGTTTCTTCTTGGGTCCAACTTCTTTGGGGCTCTCTGAGCTTCTTGGACTTCTTGGAAGACTGTTCCCTTTGCCAGACTGGGGAGGTTCTCCTTTATTATTTGTTCAAATACATGCTCAATTTGTTGCTTTTCCCCTTCCCATTCTGGTACCCCTATAATTCGGATGTTGGAATGTTTAAAGGTGTCCTGGATGCTCTTAAGCTTTTCCTCAATTTTTTGAATTCTTATTTCATCATGCTTTCCTGCTTGGTTGATTCTATCTTCCTTCAGGTCCACTGTATTGTTTTGAGACTCAGATTCCTTCCTTTCACTATTGGCTCTCCTCCGTGTATCTTCCTGCATCTCTTTTATGGTAACCTGCATCCTTTCATCTAAATTGCACCCAAAATCAACCAATTCTGTGAGCTTTCTGATCACCAGTGTTTTGAACTGTACATCTGATAGATTGGCTATTTCTTGGTTATTCAAAAGGATGAGTCCTGGGGGACTGATCTGTTCTGTTGGAAACATGTCTTATTTCTGGTCTGGTCGCTCTTGTTATGGTGGGGGGTGGAGCCTTAGGTGTTCACGGGGCTGGGCACCCCAGTCACTAGATTGTGACGTTATATGTGGGGATGGGAGGGAACAATGGCGGTAGTTCCGTTTTCCTGGGCTCAGACCCTTCTCTGGGATCCTGGGCTGCAAGCTCTTCCCTGGTCCACAATCACCGCCTCACTGGGTCTGCCAGCCGCAGCTTGCGTACTCAGGGATCACTGCTGCATTCTTGTGCCCCGGATGGCTGTTCCGCCAATTTTGTACCAAATTTTCCCCGACCTCTGTGCGCCGCCGATCCGCTCCAGCCCCACGCCCGCCCGGCTCGTGGTCTCCTACCAGTCTGGATGTATGGGTCTACTTCAACTTCTTGGCTGTCTGACTTCCATTCAGATAAATCCTCTATCAGTTCTGAGTGTTATTCTATCTGTAAATTATTGTTGTTCTAATCTTGGTTGTGAAAGGAGGTACGGTGCGTCCACCTATTCCTCCATCTTGCCGGAAGTCTATTTTTTCAAATAAGTTTTCAATTTCTTGCTCTTCCTCTTCTCCTTCTGGCATTCCTATGATTTTGGATTTTGGAACATTTAAAGTTGTCCCAGAGGTTCCTAATCCTCTCCTAATTTTTTTGAATTCTTGTTTATTCATTCTGTCCTGGTTGAATGTTTATTTCTTCCTTCTGTTCTAAATCATTGATTTCAGTCCTAGTTTCCTTCACTTCATTGTTGATTCCCTGTATATTTTTCTTTATTTCATGTTGTACAGCTTTCACTTTTTCCTCTGTTTTGCAGCCATTCTCAACCATTTCTGTGAGCATCCTGATTACCAGTGTTTTGAATTCTGCAACTGATAGGTTGGCTATCTCCTTGTTACTTGGTTCTTTTTCTGGAGTTCTCATCTGTTCTTTCATTTGGACCATATTTCTTTGTCTTGGCACACTTGTGGGGCACCTGTTGTGTTGTAAAGGGCAGAGCCTTAGACATTCTCCAGGGTGGGACAACCCATTTCACAGTGTTTTGGTGCATGTGGGGGAGGGGACCAAGAGGTAACAATGCTGCTTTCTCAGCTCTCACTCAGCTTTCAAGTCACTTCCCCTACTACCCACAAGCAAACTGGGCCCTTCTAGTGGTGATTCTTACGTGGGTTTGCATATGTTCTAGGACCCCATGGGTCCCTCCAATGGACTCTGCTGTGAAAAGGAGTTTCTCCCACCACTGCAACCCCTACAGGTTTTTATAGCCAGAGGTTTTGAGACTTTATTTTCCCATGCTGGAACCATGGTTTACATGATCTGTCTCACTCCCTAGTTGTTCCTCCCACTATATATGCACATGAATATGGGACTGCCTGGTCCACCACCTGCTACCTCGCCTACCTGGTTCACCAGCCACCACCTTGCCACGCATCCTCTCTGCCCCAGCTGCTTATCTCTGCCCCTGCTACCAGTCTGGATGAATGTTTCCTCTTTAACTCCTTGGTTGTCAGACTTCCATGCAGCTCAATCTTCTGGCAGTTCCGGTTGTTTTTATTTTTCAGTTGGTTGTCCTTCTGGTTTTGTGAGGAAACAAAACTTATTTACCTACATCACCAAGCCTATTAACTATAACAAAAATAAAAATGTTTAACTCTTGAGTTGCCCCCATCATTTTCTGTTTTTAGTCCTAAGAGACTAATAGTAAGTGTCCTCTATAGTCAAACTCCTGTCACATTAGAATTATCAAGGGAACTTTAAAAATCTTCTGCCTAGGCCACATCCCAGATCTAGTACATTAGAAACTCTCAGGATGAGACACAGGCATCTGCAAACTTTTCTAGAGGTTCCAACGTGCAGAGAAGTTTGAGAACCAGTGTCCTAGGGCAGTGCCTCTCAAACTAATGTGCATGTGATATTGACACCTTCTCTGCTCCTACCTGCTATACTGGATCCTAGATTTGGGGGAAGGCATGTTATAATGGGGGGAGGACATTAGAGGTATTTAAGGAGAGCTAGATGCTATTTGCTAGAGCTGGCTTTATCTTAGATCTTTAACTGTTGGCAGTTTGTCTGCGGGCAGCCTGGGCCATGTTAAGCTCAATAATTGGTCACCAGAGTGGGAAATTATTTTGAGTGGATTCTGTAATTACTACAAGATGTTTGGAGTGATTTTAGCTCTTTGCAAAGATGGCATTATAATAACACATCTACAATAACACATCTAAAGGACAACTAAGTTATCCTGATATTCTCCTATGGTTCTATAAGCTAGCATATCATAATCAAATAAGTGGAGAAGGGAAGGACTTAATTTGAATTTTCAAGCTTTGAAGTGGGCATTTAGAATGAGGAATAATATTATGGACGTGGTCTAAAATTGATCTCCTCTGCAAATTTGTGGATTCCTTTTGCAAGGAACAAGAAGTAACAACTGTACCCACAAGTAGGGAGGCCCAAACAGGAGGTGAAGGGATGATTTTAGCCTGGATGTCATCACAGCCTGAGATAGAAGGAGCCTGTAATAGTCTGAGGAGAGCTGCAGGGAAGCCTCCAGTTGGCAGCCAAAGCAGAAAGCTTCCTGCTTTCTGGACCTGTCCTTATTCTGGGCACAATTTATTATTTCTTCTGGACCCTAAGCTGACTGAAATTTGGCAGACTTGGTGAGGAACTTTGAATCATTCTTTTCCTGATCGGGAAGTGAAAGACTTACCATGACAAAATGTAATGGACACATGGGGGTTGTCCCACGGGGCACAAGGCTCACTCCATACTATGTTTGGAGGGTCCATGTTAGGGTGCACTTCATGATGTGTTTGTGGATGCACAGCTGATGAACATGACAAGGCTGCTGGAAGAGGGCTGATAACATCTGCATGGCAGCAAAGTTTTTACAAGAAATGATTGTGGTACTGGTATTTCTCAAGCCATGTGTTCAGGTCTTTGGAATAAATGTGGTTTTTAAAAAACTAAACTAATATTTTCTCATTATATTTGCCATTACCTGAGCCTCTCAGTAGTATGAAACTACTTGACTCATGCTATGAACCTGGCCTCCTCTAAGAACTGCAGTCAAGCAGTGAGGGCTTATAGTCACATTGTCAATACTGGAATGTTTCAGGTAGATCCAATCTTGGGGAAGAGGGTACAAAGGAACAAGAAGGCAGCTTACAGGACTGCGTGGGCACATCAGAGGTATAGTCAGCACAAAGAAGTTAGAAATGAAATTCCTTTAGTACTTGACAAATTCCAGAAACTGCTAGATGCCCTTTACCTCAAAGGGAGCCATTCTATGTAGAACTGTGCTCCTATTGTCTGAGTTCCTCTCAACCCTCTGTGAAACTGTGTCCTAGGAACTCACTCTTGGGGTGACTAATTTTGTGTTTCTATTTTTCCAGCCTGGCATGGAGGTGGTACTGCCAGGAACTACTAAAGAACAGTCCATTTGAGTGGTCAAGCTGGGCTAGGTACTAGGGATGTATCCAGACAATACCATGTTTGTCCTATAGGTCCCAGGTTACTATTGATGAGCTACTGGGAAGCTCAGGGTGCTGTAAGCCTGAAAGGCATCACTGAGGGCTCAGTCTGACCCACATCTGGAATCTCCTAATCTTCTGTGTAGTTCCCTCCCAGATCCTCACCAGTTACCTCACATCCCACAGGCCAAGCATGCTCCACAAATGAGCCAGAGTACTTGAAATCAGCGGTGTGGGTAACAGCTTGTAGTGCAACTTCCTCAGTCTCTGGAATCTCAGCATAGTCACACTTTGCTATCTTCTCCCAGCCAGCCAGGGGTGTCACTCCGGAATGATGAAGGCTCATACAAAAACTCCTCCAAGGCTTATTTCTATGCTCTGAAAGTAAATAGACTAACCTTTCCAGGATCTCTGTTCCCAAAAGCAGTTGGATAGTTTCAGCAGTCTGATAGTTTCCTTCTCATTCCCTTCAGTACCCAATTCCCTGAAAAATTGGGTACTTGGGAACCATGGGCAGTGGTTCCCAGGAAGCAATCAGTCCGTCATTCCTTTATTTCATATTTGTTTGTTGATGGATTACTATATGTTAGGCATTGTTCTAAGGCAGTAAACTTAACCAGAAGTCATAGATGTGGCCCCATTCTCACGGAGCTCTCACCAGTGGGAAAGGAAGAAGTATAAGCAATCATAATACAGAAAGTAGAGAATGCTGTGGAAGAACACAGCATGGACACCTGATCTTTGGAAAGGAATGGGACTAGGGCTGGTAACATGTATACAAAAATGGGTTGGGATTTAGGGGTATGAGGAAGCAGTGGGAAAAAGAGGGGAAAAGCAAGGATCAGAATGGACCTGAACCTAGGTGAAATTTTGCTCAGCAGATAGATTGTTCTAGACATTCCTTTATTGCCACTTGTTCATAAAAACACCATATGTTGGTGTTTTTATCTTTAAGCTTAAAGAAGCAGAATAACTTCTAAAACAATTAAATGAAATTCTGAATATAACAATAAACCTAAATCTCAGATTTGTTCCTGGAAAACTTAGAACCCAAATTGTCCTGTTTTACATTCTGATGGTCCTGACCCACCTCCAAGGGTTGAAGTACAAGATCTTGGGAATGAGCTACTAAAAGCTCTGTGCAATGAAAGCAATAATCCAATAGTTCTCAGAGAGAAAAGTATGTGACCCAAGAACTCTCTGAAGAAAATTCTACTCCTCTGCCCTCCCTTCCCGACCTAGGTGATTATGGTAACGGGGGATCATCCCATTACAGCCAAGGCCATTGCCAGGGGTGTGGGCATCATCTCAGAAGGTGCTGAGATAGAAGAGGACATTGCTGCCCAGCTCAAAGTCCCTAACAGCCAGATCAATAACAGGTGAGACCCAAAAGAACTCAGGTCTGCCATTTTTCCTCTATCATCAGCCTGCCACACTCAGATTTCACCTACTGAAGTTCTTGAAGCATCCTTTGATAGTTAAGATGTGCAAGGTTTACATAGCATAAAATAAAATGTAATAGGAAAATGGCCAAGTAGGTTTTCAGAGACATGGAACAAAGAAAGGCAGAGAAAAGGGAGGAGTGGTTGGAAAAGTCGAGGAAGGGATGGAATATGTCAGTCTGGGGACTGTGAATGATTGGGGACAAGTGAAGAGATTGGGTTGAAAGGAAAAACAGGGAGCTTATAGTAATGGTTGGTTAGGGGGCACCTGGTGAATTCTCAACATGCTGAACTAACCTTTTCAAATTCCTTTTACTCAGGGAGGCCAAAGCCATTGTAGTGCATGGCTCAGAACTGAAGGAGCTAAGCTCAGAACAGCTGGATAATATCCTTCAAAGCCACAGAGAGATTGTATTTGCTCGGACCTCCCCTCAGCAGAAGCTCATCATTGTAGAAGGATGTCAGAGGCTGGTAAGGGAGATCAAAGAGCCTTGGAAAATCTGGCAGAAATCACACAGTGTAGCCCTGGCCTAAACCAAGCAGAGGAATGTATGCTGGGCTAGAGAAGACTCCAGAGAGCATCTCATCATGAACCCCAGAGATGGGTACCAGTTTGGAGGATCTCTGAGAGTTTTAATATCTCAGGAGGAGCAGAAGAAGGAAGGGCAAATAGGCCTAAATAGGCCTAAATAGGCCAAAAAACAAGGGATGATGAAATCAAACTGACTTTTGGGACTGGTCTTGAATCTAACAGTAATTATTTCAGTCCCTCTGTGCTTCTCCCAGGGAGCCATCGTGGCAGTGACAGGTGATGGTGTGAATGACTCCCCAGCACTGAAGAAGGCAGACATTGGCATTGCCATGGGCATTGCTGGTTCTGATGTCTCTAAGGAGGCAGCTGACATGATCCTGCTGGATGACAACTTTGCCTCTATTGTCACAGGCGTGGAAGAGGGTGAGGAAGCAGAGCTGGGACTTGAATCCCAGACTCAGGTGGGAAATGGTATGCAGTACTCTCATGCCTATTGCCCATCATACAACCGTGATGATCCCGTGAAGACTGGGGGAAATCACTGTAAGACAAAAATTTGCAAATTGAGATTCAGCTGGTACTTAGAACATCACTATCCAGAGCACTTTTTTAGTAGATTAAAGTCCAGATTATTTGGGGAAACTGGGACTCCCTAAATTGTATCTTTATTCTTCTCTCACGGAAATTCAAGCAGGTCTGCAGTAAGTTCCAAGACATAACATTACCCCTGGTGCCACTTCATACTCCATAATCTAAGAAGGGCCCCCCAGGAATTTGTTCCCTGAAAATGATGTTGACATATCAAGATCAGCTAGAACCTGATTTATAAATTGATTGCATGAATGAGCCAAAATTATTACACCCTTTTGCAGAGAATTCTGAATACAACACCCATTGGTAAACAGGAGAATTCCTGAATTCTGCATCCCAAGCTCCCTGCTTTCTGCCTATAGCTGTTTTATTAAAACCTATACAATTCACATAATAGTAATAGTATATCATTTCATTGAGACCTCATATGATCCAGACACTGCTCAGTATTTTGTATCCACTTAATTCAATGCATTTTTTGAGCACCAACTATGTACCAGATACTATTCTAGATGTTGGGGATGAAAGAGTGGGAAATAAGACAACACATCCCTGCCTTCATGTTGTTTAATTGCTAGTGGAACAAGACAGACAATAAAGTAAATTGCATAGGATATTTAGAAGAGGATAAGTGCAATGGAAAAAATAAAGCAGGGAGTGCAGGGAGAGATTACATTTCCTGAAAGAGTCATCAGGGAAGGAATCGAGCCATCATGCAAGGCAGGAAGAATGAAGATCACAGCCAGTTATGGCTGAAAATGGGATTAGAACCCAAGCCCAAGTTCCTTCCATTTTAGCCTTAATCTTGGCTTCTTTGTTGGCATTTATAAACATCTCTAAGTATTAACTGGGCCCAACCCTATTTAATTTTCAGAGATCAGATGACATTAGCCATGTTAAATATAAGAACAGATATGGCATGCTAATAAATCCTGGCTCTAATTAAGAGTCACACAATTTAGACACAACACTGGGACCCCAGAGGCCTAGGACCTCCAGACCATTTCATGGATCATGATACTGCCTTGTTAGTGTTGTCTCTGTCCAGGAGCTGGTTTGTGGGAGTTGCATCCTCTTTATGCTTCTCACAGAAGTTTAACCATTCTTCCCAGGCCGCCTCATCTTTGACAACCTGAAGAAATCTATTGCATACACCCTGACCAGTAACATCCCAGAGATTACCCCCTTCCTGCTCTTCATCATCCTCAGCATCCCTCTGCCTCTAGGCACCATAACCATCCTCTGCATTGACCTGGGCACTGACATGGTAAGGGCCAAACTAGGACCCAGCTCGTGTTACTCCTGTGAGATGGACTGAGTAGTAAGAAGGATCTGTGTCTAGGAACAGAGACAGAGCTTGAGTTACTTTGAGTTCTCTCTCTATTCTTCAGGTACCCGCTATCTCCTTGGCTTATGAGTCAGCTGAAAGTGACATAATGAAGAGGGCTCCACGAAATCCAAAGACTGATAATCTTGTGAACCACCGTCTCATTGGCATGGCCTATGGACAAATTGGTGCGGTCAGAGGAATGCGGGAGCTGGTGAAGGGAGTGGGGAGTGGTTGCACCTGTCTAGTCATTGGAGCAATCTTGGATTGGAAGTCAGGGAGATGTTTCATTAACAACAAACTGTGTTAGGCCCTGGGAACATAATGAACCATTGATCTGTGATGTGCCCTTGACATAAAGTCCAGTCAGGAAGGAACAAACATACATAAAATGATAACATCTTTCCAAGTGCCAAATAATGAGTATAGACAGGAGTACAAAAGCAGGCAGGCTCACCAATCATGAGGATTTTCAGAAGCCCTTATGGAGGAAACGGGACTTAAACCTGATATTGAAAGATAGGGCTTAGACTATCCAATGTATGGTTAAGTGTAGGGGCCAAGAAAAGAGGAGAAATTCACATGGTCTGGTTGTTGAAGAGTGAGTAAACCAGTTTAATCTTCATAAAGAAATAGTGGAAAATAAGGCTATAGACAACTGGGCCATTTTTTAAATACATTTGAGAGTCATTAGATATCTTTGTTCTTGAGTTGCCAGGTATAGGTAGGGTGTTTAAGGGAATAGAATGAAGGATGGACAGGGGTGAGATTGAGGACAGGGGAAACTATCCCAATATCCAGAGGAGGAAATGCATAGGAAAAGTACATATTTAGGAGCAGGCCTTTGTCTGAATCCCAATTTCACTGCTTACTACCTGCATGACCCTGGACAATGACTAAATCTTTTTTATGTGCTTCAGTTTTCCCACTTACAAGATGTGAATAACATAGTTTAGACTTGTCATGAGTACAAATGTCCGTGGGTATCTACACAATGTACAGCTCTGTAGTTAGTAGGCTATTGCTGTGGAGCAGGCTTGGGAAACAGATGTTTTGACTGAGGGAGAGGCAAGAGTCAGATGGAAAAGAGGTAAGGAGAGGAGAGGACTTGATGAGTATCCTTATGTCAGAGAAAATGGAAACAAAGTCCAGTACTCACTCACTGGGGAGAAGGAAGAAATTCCCTCTAAGGTCTTTTCAGATATTAAGATAACATAATTGAAAGATGACTCTGAGTTAGAGCTTAGGAATAAACATCAGAACTTGGAGGCCAGTACTACAGAAATGATGGGATCAGATCATTGCTAAAAGAGTTTTCAGCATTACAGCCAAAAACACACCAACCCAGCTAGAAGCAAGTACCAATGACCGCCCCTTCCAAGATCTGTCTTTTGAAGTCTTTCTCTGAACCATGTTCCTCTGTTCTGTGACTCTACCACTCATAGGGGTGATTCAAGCTTTGGCTGGATTCTTTACCTACTTTGTAATCCTTGCTGAAAATGGTTTTAAGCCTATTGATCTGCTGGGCATCCGCCTCAACTGGGAAAATAGGTACCTCAATGATCTGGAGGACAGCTATGGACAGCAGTGGGTGAGTATAAAGGGTAGGGTAGTAGACAGTGCCTAGTGAAGAAGTGACAAGGAAGAGTGGGTTCAGCAAATTTTTGAGGAGTGGGAGAAAAGAGGAAGCAGACAGAGTTGATGCCTTATATCCAGTCCTATATGAGCATTCTAACATTTCACCTCAATCTCCAATCATGTCAGCAATTTTTCTTCTCTTTGTATACAATGATTTCCTTTGTTTCCATTCCTACTGTCTGTTATCTGTCCTTACCTTTCTGTATCTTTTGGCTTCCTTGAACCTGGAAGTCTTCTTTGTCATGCCAACTTCTGGGGTCTGATTTCTGTTTTTCTACCATCATTGCCTAGAAATGGGTGCTGGGTCCCCTCTCTCCTGTTATGCTCTCTCCCTCAATGGGAGTTCAAATAATATTTTAAATCCCAAAACCTATTTTCTTTGTATATTCCTTCCTTGCTTTTCCAAAAGTTTTTTTTTATTTTAGAGAGAGAGACATGGATTTGTTGTTCCCCTCATTTATGCATTCATTAGTTGACATTGGTATGTGCTCCACCTAGGGATTTAACCCACAACCTTGATGTATTGGGATGGCACTCTAACCAATTGAGCTACCTGGCCATGGATCATTTTGAACTTTTTAAACCTATAGGATGCTTCTCTGTAGTAGTCTTTTCTAACACTCAAGATGAATGATAACCAAACCAGAGGCCTCTAGCCAACATTGTGTATTTAAGAATTTTAGTAAGTAGTCCTAGTTGATGTGACTCAGTGGATTGAGCATCAGCCTATGAACCAGAAGTTTTCTGGCTCAATTCTGTCAGGGCACATGCCTGGGTTGCCGGCCAGGTCTCCAGTTGTGGACATGCAAGAGGCAACCAGTTGATGTTTCTCTCTCTCTCGTCCCCCCTCCCTCCCCTCTATTTAAAAATAAATAAATAAAATCTTAAAAAATAAAAACAGAATTTTAGTAAGTATGCTTTTTTTGTGTCTGTGAATACCTATCCCAAGTTCTAAGACAGTGGGAGATGTAACACAAGTTATTGCTAGAATCTTAATACCATAAAGAACACAAAGGCTACTGTCATCATTCTGCAAATGAGGAAAGTAAGTCTGGAAAGATTTAGTGACTTGCTCAAAGTTCCACTGTGAATCCTAGAAGAACTAGACTAGAATTTTGGGCTGATTCATGCCCAGCACTTCACCACTTCACCATAGTGCTTCCAACCAAGTGAATTAAAGGTTTCTCAACAGTATGTTAAAATCTGGAGTGTTGGAAAGATGTTCCTCATACACATTTGACTTCTAGCTGGGCCTCATGAGGCCATCAGATGTCAATGTTCCCAGCTGCCAGCACTGCTCCAGGGTCCAGTGATACCCTGAGACCTCATTGTCCATATCACCTCAATACTCTCTCTTGTTAGTGGCTTTTTTCAATCCCCACCCAAGGATATGTTTATTGATTTTATAGAGAAGAAAGGAGAGAGGAAAGAATTGATGTAAGAGAAACATTGATTTTTTGCCTCCCATACACACCCCAACTAGGGATCAAACCCACAACCAAGAGATGTGCCCTAACCAGGAATTGAATCCACAACCTTTAGGTATACAGGACACTGCTCCAACCAACTGAGCCACTGGCCAGGGTGGCCTTGTTAGTTTTATATCTTGATACCATCTCCCTGCTGCCAAGATGCAGTTTGACATATATTCATTTATAATGAATTAAAGGTAATTAAAATTAATTTGAAGTAATATCAAATTACATCAAAGATATCATGAGGTATTGCAAAACAGGTTGAGAATAATTGTTCTGAGCATGAACTCCAGAAAGGCAGGGTCTGTGTCTCTTCCACAGCTGTGACATTCAGATAATTGAGTATAGAGCTACCCACCCTGGAAGGACTCTACATACTATTAGCAGCAAAGATAGATCCTTACCTTCTAAATATTTCTCACCAATAATTCCATTGATCACCACTTATTCACTCATTTAGCAAGTATTTCTTGAGCATATTCTTTGTACCAGGAACTATTTTGGCCATGGGGATATAGTAGTGAACAAAAATGCCCAAATTATTGCTCTTGTGGAGTTCAAATTCTAGTTAAAGATGGGTGGTAGGAGGGAGAAACAGATAATAACCAAATATAGAATATACTGGGTCAGGTGGTGTTGGAATTGAGATCTGAGAGTCAGTGTGATGGGAAGGTAAAAATAATTGTCAGAGAAAAAGGAATGATTGAAATTGAAATTACAAAGATATTAGAAAGACACTATCTGGAGTTTAACCATGGGAGCAGGCAGTCCAGATGGGAAGTGAAGGACAGCAACACCGCTAGGTGAAAAGGAAACCAAGGAACCATGAGAACTTCGTATTGGAAGGATCATCAACATAGATATTTAAATCTCTGAAAAGGAGGACAGTAGCATTATTGAGTGACAGTGAGTCAGTAGCTAAAATCAAGTGATGAAGGGAGTGACTCGGGTGTCAGTAGCTGAACGCAGTGAAGGACAGTGGTGATAAGATCTAATACACACTAAGGAGCTGATTGGTCTTTCTAAGTTCAATAGTTGGCTCATTGATTTTCAGCCTTTGTTTTCTAATTTATTTAAGTTTCTATATTTTCCTCCATGTATAACTGACCACATTCCATGATATGTAGTATCTAATTATTATTCAGTCCTAGTCCTATGTATTTTCAAATTCTTTAATGTACAAGCTATTTATAAACATGTTTTATTTTTTTAAAACACAGGCTTTTTCTCCAGTCTAATTTAGATGCACCTCTTTTGTGTTCCCACAACTCTCTGTGATTTCTCTCTTACAACCTACCTATTGTTCTCATATAACATATTTATCTTTCCCACTAGACCCTAAGTTTCTTACATGTAGAGTGTGAATTAAAAAGAATGAATGAACCCTGGCGGGGTGGCTCAGTTGGTTGGAGTATCGTACCATACACCAAAAGGTTGCAGGTCAATTCCAGGTCAGGGCACATACTTAGGCTGTGGGTTCCATCCTGGGTTGGGACACATAAGAAAGCAACCTATCAATGTTTCTCCCTGATGTTACTCACTCACTCACTGACTCATTCTCTCCCTCTCTCCCCTTCCTCCCTCCCTTTTTCCCTTCCTCTTTCTCCAGATATCAATGACCATAGATTTTACTCCTTTTTTTGAGAGAGAGGGAAAGAGAGAGAGAGGGAGAGAAACATCAGTGTGTGGTTGCCTCTTACACGCCCCTACCTGGGGCCTGGCCTGCAACCCAGGCATGTGTCCTGACTGGGAATCAAACTGGTGACCCTTTGGTTCGCAGGCCGGCATCAATCCACGGAGCCACACCAGCCAGGGCCTTGGGTGAGGATTTTTAAAAAAAGAATGAATGAATGGAAGAATGCTATCTCCTATTTGGTACAACTCTTCAGGCATTCCTCTCCCCTCTGCATTCAGATTCTCCTCTGGCCCAACATTCCTTTCTGAACTATTTCCTCTGATTCTGCTTTTCTCTTGAAGTTCACCTTCTCTTACACCACCCTTCTTACTAACTTAGTAATTAATGAGTCAAACTATGTGCCATTCACCAAACTGAGCATGGGAGGGGGACACAAAGATAAATAAGACATGTCTTATGACTAATTCAGTCAGGTAAGGAAAACATATAAACAACTCATAATAATGTGACATGAAAAGTGCTAAGAGAGATACAAGCAAAGTGCAGTGGGAGTCTGAAGACCTAACTCAGCCTTAGAGTCTGGGAAGGCAAGAGGCATGTGTCTGAATCCCTTCTGACACTGTCAGTCTTCTCTGCAGACCTATGAGCAACGGAAGGTGGTGGAGTTCACCTGCCAAACGGCCTTCTTTGCCAGCATCGTGGTGGTGCAGTGGGCTGACCTCATCATCTGCAAGACCCGCCGCAACTCAGTCTTCCAGCAGGGCATGAAGTGAGCCCCCGCAAAGGGCCCCAGTCCTCTCCCAAACCTGCAGTAAAGGCCTGCACCATGGTGCCTACCTCTCCTCCCTGTCTCCAACACACTCTGAAACATAAACACTTTTTTCCCAGAAACAAAATCCTAATATTTGGCCTCCTGGAAGAGACATTACTGGCTGCTTTTCTGTCCTACACTCCAGGCATGGACGTGGCCCTGCGAATGTACCCACTCAAGTGAGTAAGGGAGGGGTGCAAGTAGGGGAAACTCAGGATCCGAGGAATATGTGCTTGAACAGGGAAGGTCCAGCTGAGGGTCACCTCCATAAGCAAGGTACACTCAGTGGTATGAGAACTGTCTGTGCTCAGACAAATGCTTCTTATTTAGGGAGGGTTTAGGGACTATGCCAAGTGATCATAACCCACTAGACATGCAAATTCACATATTTACCATGATTTCCAGAGTTGCATCTTTTTCTTTTTATGATGATGTGTGGTTGGCTGTCCAAGGATACATATGCTCAGAGCTGAGGTAATTATAAAATTAGCCCAATATGTGGGGCTAATTCTGTTATACTTATGCAAATATGTTTTAATGTACATCTACGTGAATGGATATACTAAAAGTCTAATTGATTGGTACCTTGTTTTGTTCCTTCGAGTCCCGTGTTTTGTTTTTCACATTAGCATATGCTTGTGAAAAAAATTCTATTTAAAATTTTTACAGAGATAAAAAAGCAAAACTCCCATCCTACTCCACTCGCACTCACCTCCTCACTTGCACAGGTAACCTCTGTTAATGATTAGTGTATATTTTACAACTTATTTTTATGCATTTACATAGTTTGCTCACTTTTCTGTCCCTTGCAGTGTTATACACAATGCTTTGTATACTGTAGTTGCTCAATTAATATTTAATAAAAGAGATTGTCATTGCCTTTAATACTGACAATCCTGGGTTTGAATCACTTTTTTTAAAATTTTATAATTAAAGTTGGCATATCATATTAATTAGTTTAGGTGTACAACATAGTGATTCAACATTTATATACCTTACAAAGCAATTATTATAGTCAGTCTAGTAGTCATCTGTCACTGTACATAGTTACCCAGGTTTGAATTTCAACTCTATGGTGTTTTATTCTGGGGACTTTGGACAACTTCTTAACCCTTATGAGCCCAAGCTTCATCTGCAAAGTATCAGTAATACAAACCATGCAGATTGTTGTGAGAATTAACATGTAGAGATGCATATAATGCACCAAGCCTGGGGCTTAGGTCATGGTGGGTGCTTTGTTAAAAGTAACTCTGTTATTGTTGCTATTAATGCTAATATATAAGTAATAAGTGCAGTTGAGCATTACCTGTGCTCCCAAACACTCTGTATATACCTTGACCATAAAACTTATTGAGATTTTTATTGTGTGCTTCTCTATCCTCTTTTGCTTAATTGTTGAACTCCTTGAGATCAAAGACCATTATGTCATACTTTTCATTTCCCCAGGACCTAATATGAACACAGAATAGAAATATGACAATTGTTGTTGAATGAATGGGTATGTGTATAACTGTATTTGTGTGTATGCATTTATGTGTGTGTGAGGGAGGAAACTTGGCCCAGGCCTGTGCTGTCCAATACAGTAGCAACTATTCTTATAAGACTACTGAACTCTTGAAACATGGCTAGTAAGATGGAGAAATGAAATTTGTAATTTTTAAAAAAGATGTTATTTACTTATTTTTAGAGAGAGGGGGAGGGAAAGAGAAAGAGGGAGAGAAACATTAATGTGTGGTGCCTCTATCACACCCCCTACTGGGGACCTGGCCTGCAACCCAGGCATGTGCCCTGACTGGGAATCCAACCAGCTACCCCTTGGTTCAGAGCCTGTGCTCAATCCACTGAGCTACACCAGCCAACGCCCTGAATTCATAATTTTATTTAGTTTTAGTAAATTTAAAGTTAAAAACTAAAGCAGTATCAAATATTTTCTATTACATAAAACTTTACTGTTTTGGTTGGGCTACATTTTCCTTTAACCATTAAAAATTTAGTGTCTGATTTGCAAAGTACTGTGAGTATAAAAGACTCAACTAGATTTTGAAGATTTAGGATTAAAAGGAGAATAAAATATCTTATTAATAATTGATATTAATTACATTTGAAATGATAATATTTTGGATACATTCAGTTAAGTAAAAATATATTATTAAAATTAATTGCTTCTTTTTACTTATTTTAATGTGACTACTAAAGAATATTAAATTTCGTATGTGTCCCATAACACATTTCATTCAAACAGCACTGGTCTAGGCCACCTCTGTCAACCAAGAGAACAAATGTGGTCCTGCTTCAACCCCTCCTCACAGTCCATCTTCCTGGTCTCTAATTATAAAAGAGGTTCAGAAAGAAAAATTTCTCCATTGTTGCAACATGGAGTTGTGTATTCCCTGGAAAAACATACCCACATGTCTAGTCTCAGATAGACCTCTTCTGCTTGGATAACCTCCCCTTGATGGGTACACGTCCTTGAGTACCTAGTAAGTGAAGGGGGCCTCCCTTAGCAACTCTATAAAGTTGGTAGATAATCTCCATGAACACTATCTGTACTGCTGATGTGGCATTTAACCTCTTCTCCCTCATCACCAGACTCTGACCTCCTCAGACCCTATACTCAATGTTTGTACTCTGTTCTCTGCATCTGCCTTTCTCTGACGCCTCTGTCTCCTGCCACATAAACAACTCTTGCTTTCTACAGGATATTATGGTGGCTCTGTGCCACTCCCTACAGCCTTCTTATCTTTATCTATGATGAAATAAGAAAATTCACCATTCGGCGTCATCCTGGCGGTGAGGCTCCCTGCACCCCACTCTGACTGAGTGGTCTCCATCCTCCTAACTAGCTATCCCATCCCACCTGGTTCCTCCAGGACAATTGCCCTCTTTCCCCTTTACTGCCTGGGCTGTGCGTAGATCCTGGTTCTTCAGTCCTTGATTCCACCATCTTGCTCTTTCCAATCCTCCGTCCCGAGTTCCACTCTCAGGCCTTTCACCTGGCCTTTACTTACCTTTCTGCTCCTCTCCCCTTTCTGCTTCCCCATTGCCTTCCCAAATTCACTCTGGTGTCTTCTTTTCCACAGGCTGGCTGGAAAGTGAGACCTACTATTAAACTCAGCAGAGGAAGAGCTTCACATGACATGGGAGTGTCCTGAGAGCCTGCAGGGGGGGATTAGGGATTATGAGTTTGGCACAACATCTGAGTTGGGACAGAGAGATGCTGGGATGAATCACCTTGGATAAAAGAGACAGACAATCCTGGGTCTGGATTGAGGGGCACCATGGGTAGGAATTAGAGTGGATTGAGTGAGGGTAATGAAGTCCTGTTTGTGTCTGATTGGAGCCCAGCCAAGAGGGGCCTTGCCCTATTGAATCAGTAGCCAGATTAGAGAGTAAATGTTCAAACATCTCTCATCTGGCTGGATATGTTGCATCTGATTTTTGGGAGAAGGGAGATTTCTGTGATGCTTATTCTAGATCTTCATGGCAGCTGGACAGGAAAAGTCAGGGACCCAGTTGAGGCTGGGAGCAGATCAGAATCAAGCATCATCGTCCCTTGAGGACAATCCCAATGTTAAAGTAACTCCCCAACCCAAAGGAAAGCAAAGACAAGTCCAGCTGGAATCAGAGAAATGGGAGAGGGGGAGAAAAGAATAGCAGAGCCACACCTTACGAGGGGACCACAGCACACACATTCAGTACTGGCAGGTGGATTCAACTAGCTCCCACTTCACTTTCTTATATCAGCTTATAGAACCAGAGTTTTAGTGCTAGAAGAGACCTTACTTCATCAATGAATTACCTGAGGTCCAGGGAGGTTAAATGACTTGAGCAGGGTCACATGGTGAGTGGTGAATGTGGGGCTTCCATCCGTCCTCTGAGGAAGGCATTGGTAATCCCTCTCCTCCACCTCATTTTCTCTGCTGTTGTCTTGAAATAGAGGCTGAAACAACAGTTTCTGGATCCCTATAGACTTTACTTTAGGCCAAGCACCCTGCCCCCTCATTCTCCTGGCTCCACAAAGAGTGATAGACATTCCTAAAATCCTGGTCTCTGAGCCTGGGGCCACAAACTTTGCTGCCTTTCTGGTAAGCGAGGAGTCTCCAGGGAGCCTTTATCTCCTGCCTGGCTCTTCCTTCCTCTTCACCCATTCACTGGCTCTGCTTTGTGAGTTGGTCCACTTTGCCCTGTGGGTCAGTTCATTTTCAGGCTTCTTTTGGAGGAAAGGATTATCTGTGCCCTAAAGCATACTGAACAAGAGAGAAATGCTAAGGAAAGTTGGGGGGGAAGTCATAGACTGTCACCAAAAACAAAGTAAATGTGTTTAGTAACTGTGTACTATGCCTCCAGTGGGACAATTCATACAACAAATGTATTCTCACCACTCCACCGTGTTTTATAGATGAGAAAACCAAGGTTTTTCTGATTCCAGAACTTGTGCCCTTCACCACTTTTCAGGGCAGTATTAAAAGGCTGGGCTAAAAATATACAATAAAGCAAACAAAAAAAAAATAGCCAAGTGATGGAGGAAGGGCCATGGGCAAGTCTGGTTGGGAGGCCATGGGCTAGCAAAAAAGGAGGGCCTTATAAGGTATAGTCAGTCACTCTTCCCCTACATCCCTCCTTCCCTCAGAGTTTTCCCCACCTATGCTCCCCTCCCTCCTCCAATGCAAGGTATTTTAGAGACAGAGCTATATCAGTTTGGGGTCCTTCCCTCAGCTGCTGACACAGCTGAATCAGACCCTGGAAGATGGAGGGGCCAGGGTATATGTGAGTAAGGTACAGAGGGCCCAGCTCCTCAAGTTTCAGGAGCAAGAGCTTCAGGTGTCTGGTGGGTTAAAAATACAGAGGCCTCAACTAAGAGTCATTTGATACCAGTGGCTGAGCCTGCTAAGTCCAAGGGCCTGAAAGCAAGATCCCAGAGGGAAGGGACTGAGCAGAAAGCAGAAAGCAAGACATCAGACAGAAAAGAATGGGATGGGGCAGCTACTAGAAAGTATACGGTGGAACTGAAGAGCCAAGGTCAAAGAGAGGGAACAGAACAGAATGGAAGTCTGGTAGCTGCAAGAGAAGATGAGGAAATGGAGCAGGTCTTGGGCCACCATTTGGTCCCATTTCATACCCATCAGGGTACAGAAGGTCAGATTCATCATGGACAATATAATGTTCTAATGTGTTTGTCCAAATGTTTCCCCTTCTCCAGAGTGCAGCAAGTGCAGCAGATGTGAGAAATTGGGGCTGGATGTGACCTGGGTCATCTAATTCTGGGGGCATCTGCCCATCTGTCCTGCTGTCTGCTCTGGTTGTGGGGCTGTGGGCACATTAGTCACTCTCTTGTGAGACCAGGAGATGGGTTCTGAGGGCTCTTCAGCTCTAATGTGTCCTGCTTAGGCTAGCTCTGGCCTCTCCTACTCCAGTGACAGTTGTCCCTCTTAAACACACCCCTGCCACAATCCTGAGGTTTTCCATGGTCTGCTTGCCTTAGCCCATGTAAGGTCTGCCCCATGGGATTGTGGAAAATTTAATTCTTTAACAGAATTTCATGTCACTACCTGGTGCAAAATAAACATTGTCACTCCAAAATCAGACCTATCTCAGGGTGGGGATGAGAGGTTTCTGACTTTGATCTAGCCTCTCCGGTCTCCCTCATGCCTCAGTTTACCTGTAAATGGTAAGAACCCTGGAGAATCAATAAGAGGTCCCTTTCTTCTTTCCTAGGTCCAGAGTTGAACTCATTCACTTGGCCCTCACCCCCAGGCAGGGCTCCAAAAAATTAGAGCCCCTCCTCTCCAACTCTGGTTGGTTCTCAAGTGCACAGGAATTAATCTACATATTTGGCTCAGGACACACAGCCCACCTCTTCATGATTTCTCACTGTTAATTTTTCTCCCTAATGTTTCTATGTGATTCTGTTTGTCAGAGACATAGGAATGAATGACTGCTGTTCATTGCTGTCCTTGGGACCATTCAGTCTGGAGACCCTCCCTCTGCAATGTGCTCATAAAACTGAGTCCCATAGGACCAGAGTTGAGAGCACAAGCAGGAGCCAGCAGCCAAGGGCTTTCCCCATTCTTCATGGGCAGAAGAACCCCAAATGCACATCTCGCCGGGATGGATGTGGCCAACATTGCCCAACCCATGCCCGCCCTTCCCCTGCCTTCCCAAGTTAGGAGTGTTGAGTGAAGCAAAGGAAACTGGCTTGAGCTCAGCCAGGTCTCCAGTCCTGGACATGGCTCCATCTTGTATTCAGAGAATGACCTCATCCTTGGTCCAGATTCTTTAAATGGAAGTGCTGCAGGTCTCTTTGCTTCAGCCTGGGTTGCATTTTAATTGTGCTCTCTTCTCTACAGGATCAAAGAAACAGACTTCACCTAGAGAGCATACAAGGTTTTAGGACTTAGAGTTAATAGTGCATTTGTACCTTTTCCCCTAGATTATGAATTTAACCTCTAACCCAGAATATCTCCCTCTTTACACCCCCATTTCCTTCTCTCTGAGTCCCCTTGCCCTCACTTCTCCTAATTACCTCAACTCCCCCCTCCACCAGCCCCAGTTTCATTTACCTCCGACTCATCTGGTCTTATTTTTAGCTCCAGCTTTTTCCTTTCTTAATATGGTGATGAGCTCTTAGGCTGGTGTGGGGACAGGGGCTGAGGAGCCCTGGACATTGTGGGGAGGGAGGGGAAGAAGGCTTTGGGAGCCTAGGGGAGAGGTGCAGGAGGTGGGAGGATTCCAGTCTTATGGAGTTGTACTGGCCTCAGAAGGTTACCCATCTCCCCTGCCAATTTTGGAAACATATTTAGACAGGACCAGGTGGAGCCAAGGGGTGCCAATCTCAGGGGCAGCTCAGGTTGCCTCCCCGCCCCCTGCTCCTATTCCTCCTGACCGTTTTTCTCTTGGCTCTGTTGACAGTGTCTCCAAGACCCAGCAGTGTCCTCTGTCCACTGCCCTAGGCCATTTCCCACCCCACCCCCACTGTGAGCCCCTCACTCAAGATTCAGGATTTGGGGGGCTCTCCCTACCCCAGCAAACCTCTTCTGAACCAGGAGAGACAACCCAGATCTCACTACCTCCATGTGTGCTGCAGACAGGATGTGGGGCAGAACTGTGCTGGGCCTGCGACTGGTGCTGCTGTCACTGCTGGTGTTAGGGACTCCAGAGTCAGGGGTACAGGGGGAGGATGGGCTGGACTTCCCCGAGTACGATGGTGTGGACCGTGTGGTCAATGTCAATGCAAAGAACTACAAGAATGTGTTCAAGAAGTACGAGGTGCTGGCACTTCTCTACCATGAGCCTCCGGAGGACGACAAGGCCTCACAAAGACAATTTGAGATGGAGGAGCTGATCCTGGAGGTGAGTGCTGGGATCTACAGGCCTGCAGAGTACAGTCAGCCCCTCTCTGTGACTCCCCCATCCTACAACCCCACGGAGGTCTTTGAGGGTGGGGCTGGGGCCAGGGACAGTGCAGCAGGATGCTCTCATCTTGACCAACAGGACCCAAGTGGCATGTGGCCTCAGTCAAATGAGAAACTGAGACTTGAGGACTCAAAAGTACCACTATAGTCAGGCAATTTTAGGAGAGAGGAGACTGAAAGGAATGTCTCCTCCATGCTATGGGAGGCTGGTAATACTAGGTTTGGCTAGGACTGGGGGGTCTTTGGAAGGGGGACAAAAAAGGAAAAGAGAGATTCTTCAGGGGAAGGGGGAAGTGCAGTGCTAAGGGCTGAATCCCTCATCCACTTTCTTAGCCAGAACATGCCCTACTCTATACACTTTAGAAATAGCACCCCAAAGAGATCTAAACTGAGTGTAAGTTTAAATGTTATTAACATCTTGGATATAATTCATGTCATGGCTAAATGTTTACTAGAGACCACCATGCCTCCTGTAGGTAGGTCTCTTGGTCCTTCTTTCTTCCTCCCCTTCCTTCCTCCCCATCTGCTCCTATTAAATCAAGCTGGATATTCTGATCAGAAAAATCTTGTGGCTAGAGGAGGCCTCAGAATGTCTTCCCCAGCTTCTCTTTGTCAGAATATTCTTCTCACCTCCAAACTGACTTCAGGCCCAGAGGGGAGAGGAGCTATTATAACAAGAAAAAGCACCTGTGCGGGGGGAATGATTGGTTGGTATAGTCACAAACACCCCTCCAAGAGCCAGCATATGTCAGTGGCAACTTGTCCAAGCTTCAGCAGTCCCTTTTCTATCTTGGCAATGCAGATAGGCCCCAGCTTACCCAGAGCCTGGAGTATTTCAGGGCAAGATACCAGGACCACAGGCTCTCACTTCTGTGTGCCCCCGCCAGGTGCTGGAACCCACCATCTGACTAATAAGCTGAGTATTTTTATCCTGAGTGCTCAGCATCCATGGCCATCTACCTGCCAACTGCCTCCCTTCCGGTACTCCTGAAACTCCAGGAGCCAAGTCTGTGTTAGGTGGGGTTAAAGCCACAAGCCATGCTAAAGGCACAGCACATCAGCACTGAGCACCCAGCTGGCAGGCTGATGGGCAGGTACCTGGGGAGTACCTGTCTGCAGCCTCAGGACAGGCTGAGGTAGGCAGTGAAGGGGAAAGTTCACCTGGATGTGGAGAGTCGGCCCGTTTCTTCTCTGGCCTCTGGCTCTGTTCCTCTGAGGGATACAAGTGCTGGCCACAGAAACCTCTACTCTCAGCTTTCAGGCATCCCCCACTTATCTGCAAGGTGACCAGACCCTTCCACCCACCCATCTACTACTCCCCTGCTCTCCAAAACTTTTCCCATTGTGGGTCACTTTTGAGAATCCCAGGGATGTCACCCCATACTGGGCATGGCCTTTGGTAAAGACCGAGTGCATGGGCTCAGCCCTGAGCAAGGGAAAGGCTTCGGTCTCTCTAAAGCCAGACTCCTAAGCATTCCTAAGAAAACAGGAGTATCATGCATAGTGCTTCAAAGTTCAACATAATAGGCACATAGCAAACAAGCAGCAAATGTTCAGAAATTAAAACTGAGTTAAAGAAAAAAGGGGTAAGGTTGTGGGGACAGTGTCAATATCCTGGATCCTTGCACAGTATCAATGTAAACTCTTCAATTCCCTGTGTCCCCAAATGACCCAACTTGGAAGCATGAGATGGGAAATAAGGGTTGCTAAAAATTATAGGGACTGACTTGACTCTAATCCTCCTTTGCAGTTAGCAGCCCAAGTCCTCGAAGACAAGGGTGTTGGCTTTGGGATGGTGGACTCTGAGAAGGATGCAGCTGTAGCCAAGAAACTAGGTAAGGGTGAGTTGGGAACACAAGGAGGGGAAGGTGGCTTGTGAGACTTGACCAGCAGCCCTTGTGTAGGCTAGGAACTCTACCATGCCTCTTCTGAAAGGAGGAGAAGTTACAGAAATTGAAAGGGATATGGCTGAGAGTCCTGGCCTCTTTTATTCCTTATACAGACACATGTTCAAATCCCAAAAGGAGGTGGACATGGCCTTCTTTAAATGTTTTTCAGATAACTAAAGACAGGGCTCAGTGCTGGGGGGACAAGGGAGCTCATGTCTCAGGTGCAACCGGAGAGGCCTCAGCAAAAGCCTCTTCTCACTCTGCCCTCTCCAGAACCATGGCTAGGTATTACAGCACTGGCCACCAGGGGGCAACACAGCCTGAGACTGGACATGAGTTATGGATTGGGGTGGGATGCCCTGTAATAAGTCATCTGGTCAATAACCCTTTAACAAAGGGTTAAAAGGCTGAACTGGCAACTGGCTGCTGGATTCCTCAGAGTAGATAATATGAATATCTCTCTCTAGTATGGCAAACAGAGAAAGGGAGAAATCTTGCTAGAGTCTGTATCTTCCTACATCCCCCCCTACACCCCAACCTGATCCCAGCTTCTCCCTGGAGAGCCCCTTGGGCCAGGCTAACTACCCCTGGTAAGTCAAGGGATAGACACCAGTGGTGTAGGGCTAAAGGGCAGTGGAGGTAAGCGAGGCTGGGGAAGAGGGGAGGGGGTGGGATCCCGTAGGATTACGGAATGGGGCCATGGCCCTGGGTTTAAACCCATGGCTCTGTGGGAAGGTTGGGATCATGGCTCATCTCAGGCCCACTCCCTAGGACTAACTGAAGAGGACAGCATCTATGTGTTCAAGGGAGATGAAGTCATTGAGTATGATGGCGAGCTTTCTGCTGACACCCTGGTGGAGTTTTTGCTTGATGTGAGGATTCATTACCCTGGACCCAATGGCCTTCTCTTAAGACTTTATGCCCATCTTGAACCAACCCCAACCACACACACACACCAGACAGCCCCTTCTTCCTATTTCCAAGCCTTCTTCTCCCTTATCCTTCTCCCTGTTTCCACCAGTGAGAACAGAAACTCTCTTCCTTCAATGTCGCTGTTCTTCCAGGTCCTAGAGGACCCTGTGGAATTCATTGAGGGTGAACGAGAGCTGCAGGCATTTGAGAACATCGAGGATGAGAACAAACTCATTGGCTACTTCAAGAACAAAGACTCAGAGCGTGGGTAAACCTCAGACTCCATGGTTCCTCTTCTTGGTTCCCTCCACTTAATCCACTTCATGACCTCCTTATCTCCTAACTCCTCTTGCTACAATCAGCTTCATCAACTGCTCTGATCTCTGAGGGTTCCCAGAGGGACACCTTCAGCATTCCACCTGCCTCCACCCCATGTTTTAATCACTCTCAGAGGGCTAGAGGGTGTGAGTCTCAGAATGAACCTTACCTTGCCAAAGAACTTGGGAGACAAAGGGGAGAGGGCTCCCTGGCACACCCTGCTATCCCAGAGACTGACCCTGCATCCCCCTTCAGATTACAAGGCCTTCGAGGACGCCGCAGAGGAGTTCCATCCGTACATCCCCTTCTTCGCCACCTTCGACAGCAAGGTTCTCCACCCCAGAACATATTGTGTCTTTCTCACCCTCCTCAGCAGCTCTCCAACCTCTCTCCCAGAATCTATGGAGACCTGTTCCCTCCCTACATACCACACTTCCCACCTCCACCTCAGGCTTCCCCTACCCCAAAGATTTTAGATTATCTAACCCACTTCTCTCATGTCCAACCAAAGTCCAGAAAAGTGAAGACACTTGTCCAATGTCACAGTTGCAGCAATGAAGCCCCATGAGCCTGACTCCCTTCCTTATATCTGCTCCCCTATAATACTGCTTCTCACCATGATACCACATACCCCATTCCACCTCCACCCACAAAGGTGGCAAAGAAGCTGACCCTGAAGCTGAATGAGATTGATTTCTATGAAGCCTTCATGGATGAACCTGTGACCATTCCAGACAAGCCCAACAGCGAAGAGGAGATTGTCAACTTTGTGGAGGAGCATAGGAGGTAGGGGCAGGGGCAAACCTCTGAGCAGAGCTAGAACTCCTGTCTGTGACATGGGCTGGGGAAAGCTCAGCCAACCAGGAGGCTGCTCTCACTTTGAGATAATCCACTTCCACATGCCAGTGCTCATGATACACTGACCCCCTTTCCACAATATTTTGTGCCCTAACCAGTGCTGAGTCCTTACATGTGGAAGGTTCTTCATAAATGTGTACTGCGGATTGTGATGAGTGTTGAGGGTCTGTGGTCTGCCAGGAATGGAAAGGTGCCTTCTCTGTTATTGCATTTAATCCTTTTAACAACCTCAAGTAACCCTGGCTGTTGTGGCTCAGTGGATAGAGTGCTGGCCTGCAAACCAAAGGGTTGCCAGTTCAATTCCCAGTCAGAGAACAAGCCTGGGTTTTGGGCCAGGTCCCAAGTAGGGGGCATTCAGGAGGCAACCACACATTGGTATTTCCCTCTCCTCCTTCCTTCCCCTCTCTATAAACAAACAAATAAATACATACATAAATAAATAATAGGTTCCACAGTCACTAAGTGTCAGAACTACATTCCAACCCAGATCTGGCCTGTGATCTTTCTCATACATTACCCTACACCTGTAGTTCTCAAAAGACTGGAGGGATTGGTGAAATAGGGGAAGAATTTTGTCCTCCAGGGGATATCTGGCAATGTCTGGAGAGATTTTTTGGTTGGGGGGAAGGCTGCTGGTATTGGGTTGAGGCCAAGGATGTTGCTAAACATCTAACAGTGACAGAACAGCCCTCAAAACAACAGATTACCTGGCTCCAAATGTTAGTAGCGCTGAGGTTGAGAAACCCTCCTCTAAACTCACACATAGTTCTCTTCTTTCACAGTACTTCACAACTGGAAATATACTTTCATCAGTGTAAACCACGCTCCCCTCTCTCCCTCTAGGTCATGGTCCCCTTCATCAAGGCAGGAATGTGTTTGCTTTGTTTAACTTTATCTATACAGCAGCTAGCACAGGGCTTAGAACACCTCAGACACCCAATTTTGTTGAATGAATGAGTGAATACATACATGCATGCACCCATGAATGAATGAACAAACAAATGAATACTCAGATGTCTGGTTTTTACTTTTGTTCCAAAAGTCTCTCTTGCAGTCCCCTTGCCCACCACCCTCCATTCTCTCACCTGTTTAAACCATGCAATGATCTGGGTCTGGTACCCAGAGCTTACACTTTGCCAGATGGCTTTGTTCTGAGCTACAAACTGTCTGTACCCTAGGCATGACCCAGAGGCAGCCTCTACTGTGGGGGCCCTTGTGGGGGAAGGAGCCATTCTCAAACACTGAGGAGTGACTCTTGTCTGTTCTAGATCAACCCTGAGGAAACTGAAGCCTGAGAGTATGTATGAGACCTGGGTGAGTACCCTAGACCGGGCCAGGCCCTGGGGGAGCATAGGAGGTTACAGGGTCAAGTCCTAGAAACATCCCACCCTGCTGTTCCTCATGACTCACTTGTAGGAAAGACAATGGACCAGGAAAGTTTGGGGGTTTTGTTCTGAAGAACATGTCACTATAAGTTAATAAAGATGACAAGGGAGGAGTCACAAGTTCTGGGGCTGGGGGAAGTATGGGGCTCTGGAGCTGAACAGGACAGTGTCACTTGGAAAAGGGTCACCACCACAAGACTATACCTAACCCAGAAGCTGAATTTTCATAAAATTCACATTCAAGGAAGATCTAGGATCTGTTCTGGGTTCTCTCACTTCAAGGAGTATAGCTAAGGCCCTCCTCTTTCTCCCACAACAGGAGGATGATATGAATGGAATCCACATTGTGGCCTTTGCAGAGGAAGCTGATCCTGGTGAGGGAGGAATACTGGATTGGATGTGGGGATTGGTGAAAGGGGAAGACAAGGATGTTTTTTAAAGTATAGGCTTCATTTGGGAGGCATTCCTGGGAGAGTGCTAGTGGCCTAGGGCTAGACATGTAGACTTGTGGGAGGCGAGGAAAGAGGTCTGGACTCTGTGTTCTCTGTGTCCCTTTTCTCTCCACCCTACCTCACACTTCTCGCTTGTGTTCCCTCCAAGACGGTTATGAGTTCTTAGAGACTCTCAAGGCTGTGGCCCAAGATAACACTGAAAACCCCGATCTTAGCATCATTTGGATTGACCCCGATGACTTCCCCCTGGTAAGAGGCACCACTCAGGCACAGCTCTCCTAAGGTAGGGCCTAGACTGTGGCACATTCTGAGGGGAGCTTGTTTCAGAGTTCCTATCCCATCTCCTAGCTGGGGCTCCAGAAAATCATGCCTGCTGCATGCTGAAAGGCACCATAGGCATGGAAAAACCCCAAGAAAGGGGAGCAGGATTGGAAGTGAATCACATGGGACATCACCTACATGACTCCCAGAGCAGAAGCAAGGCAGGGAACTGTGCTCAGGGTTGACTTCTAGAGAAAACCAGAGTTTTGAGGAGCAGATGGACACATTAACCCTGCACATGGATGTACACAATCATAGAATCAAAGCACAGATTCCCTATCTCAGGGGATGGCTTTATTCCCAGCTTAATTCCCACCCAGCACTCATTGTTGAAAGGCTAAACTGGATGAACAAACAAATGTAAGGAAATTGGCAATTACCAGGTGTAACTACATTAGTTTAGAGATGTAGAAACTGAGGGTCAGGGAGGAGTGACTTGCCCAGAGCCACAGGGTCTCTCAGTAGCAGAGCCAGAATCAGAACAGGGGTTTCCTCTCTAGTTCTTGGAAAGGAGGAATCAATGTGCCTAGATGGTCCTCCTGATACTTTCCCTTAAGGATTTCTACCTTTTAACTGCTTAGCTTTTTACCTATTCCCTCAGGCCCTGCAGCTGAACCATCCCCCCAACCCCCACCATGGGTTCGTAGTGTCCTCTACCCCTATGCTACCTTCCACACCCTCCTGGAGTCATGTGTTCCTCAACTCCATTAAGTTGCCCCATGTGGTTTCTCCACAGCTGGTTCCATACTGGGAGAAGACGTTTGATATCGACCTGTCAGCCCCACAAATAGGTGTTGTCAATGTTACTGATGTAAGTTTCCTTCCCTCACCCCTCACCCCATTGATCCCCAACTCTGCTTCCCAGAGTAGCTGGCTTTCCTCTGTTCTGCTAAGGCAGAGTTGAGTCCTTCCCAGAAGAATCAGACATGCTCAGTCTAATGGCTGGATAGAGGGAGAGATTCACGCCCTGAACATAACTATCTCCACCTGTTAGAACTGGCTGCTCATCCTTCAAGACCCAATTCAAATATCCTCTTCTCCATGAAGGTTTTCCAGATCTCCCACTTGGAATTATTTTTTTCATTAGCACTCTCAGAGCCCATTTAGCATTGAGAAGATGACTTCATATGGCTATTTATGTACCATGTGTGTCTCTTCCAGTAGACTTTAAACTATTTCAGGGCAGAAATCATCTCATTCACATGACAGGTACTTTGAAATTGTTTGAGTTGAATTGAATAATCCTCAGTCTTTGTTTTCATAGAATCCTCAGTCTAAGGGAGGCAGGCATTCCATCAACTACCAGGCCAGATCTGATAAACTCTATGATAAAGATATAAATAAAATGCTAGGAAGACACAGAAATTAAAGTAATTTCTGCTTGAGAGAATCAGAGAAGGGTTTAAAAGGAGTGGCTTTCAAAGCAGAGACTGTGCAATGTTGAGGGAGTTCTACAAGTGAAAATTATGAGAAGTCATTTCCAAACTGATGGAAAAATTGGTGCAAAAGATCAAAAGTAGGAAAATGAATATTCAAACTTGGAAAAGGCAAATAGTTTTTTTACGGCTTGAGAGTTTAGAGATCTCTGAGGATGGTGCTGGAAAAGCAGGTTATAAAAAGCCTTGAATGCTGAAGAGTTTCTGACTTTATTCTTTAGGCCATGAAAAGCCACCAGTGGTCTTCGCATCAAGGGCATGATAGAGAGGTCTGTTTTAGGAAGCTCAGAAAGACAAGGGCATGCCAGAAAGAGTGCAGGCAGAAGGCCTAGTTCCCCATCCAACCATTCTTTCTACTCCTACTGTCGCCGTTCTAACCTAGATCTTCTTCTCTGGCAACTGACAGATGAAGGGATGGGATAGAGGACATAGGGAAAAATGTCCAGAGTCCACTGAGTGGGACAACGGATCCAAAGACCTAAGTCGGGCTTAGCTGCAGTCCTCTGTCTGTGCTGTGTCCTAGGCTGACAGCATATGGATGGAGATGGATAATGAGGAGGACCTGCCTTCTGCTGAGGAGCTGGAGGACTGGCTACAGGATGTGCTGGAGGGTGAGATCAACACAGAGGATGATGATGATGATGATGATGACGACGATGACGACGACTAGTTGCTGTGAGAACCATCTCTCTGCCCCACCAGCTCAGGTTCCTTCCTGCCTTCCCTGAGCTCCTCCAGAGATGCTGGGTCATTTTCTGCCTCTGGGTCCCTTGGGGTCTATATGCTGAGGGCTGAGACCCTGGCCCCCTCACCTGATGGGGGAAGGAGTTGCTTTCCCTGTACACCAGCCCAGCTATTTCATCTGACTTCTGTTTCTTGTCCCACAATGTCCCTGTATCTATTATTTTTTTCTTCCATTACTTCCTAAACCCTTTCTTGTGGTTTTCCTCTTGCCATATCTCTGGGTCCCCATCTATTTTCTGTTCCCTGAACCTGTATACACTCTTCCCCTACTCTCTCAAATCCTAGATCCTTGTGACTCCCTCTCCCCGTGTTTGGGGCTATATCTCTGCAATCTCTTGTTAATGTATTTGGGTCAAACCAAGGCTTCAATAAAGGATCTGGGGCAGCTGAGCAAGTGTCTTGTCGGTGAGGTCTCACCTGTATGGCAGGAGGGAATCAGCCATAGGGGTGGGGTAGGTGTGAGTGCCTTGTGAGGGACTGCGATAGGTAATAGGTAGGGAGTTGGGGCTGGCTTCAGGCAGTTATCCCAGAGAAGCTTGGATTATTTATCTGCTGCAAGTCAGCAAGCCTTTTCTGAACACATGGTGCTTGTCCAGCACTGCTGTTAAGCTCTAGGAGAACAGTGAGTGCCGGGCCTGTCCCTGCTCTTGAACTGATCAGCCTCACTGGGAAGTACACAGGCACACTAAACAACTGAAGAAAAATACACAGCAGTATGTAATTAAGTGATTACGTGTTGCTTGATAGCACCCTCCCTGTAGCTCTTATTTGAATGTCAAAACCGAGCCCAAATAATACTTCCTTTGTGAGGTCTTTCCAGAGGTGGCCCCTTCTACAGTTCCCTCCTCTGGGTTTACACTGGACCTTCTCTATACACCTCTGTTCTAGTATTCAGCACATTCTATCCTAGCTCTTCATTTTCATGTCTGTCTGCCCCACTAGACTGCGTGCCCCTTGAAGGCAGGAACCCAGGCCTTTTCTCTGTGTCCACAGGACTTGGCACACAAAAAGGAGTGCCTAATAAATGTTGGCTAAAAGAAGGAACAAATTAATAGAATCAGCTCAGAAGAGAGAGATTGGAGTGGGCATTAATGGCTTCATGAAGGAAGTGAATAGTTTTCTAGGCCTTAAATAAAGAATGGGATTTTGACAAGAGGCAAAGGAGTTGGGGAGGGAACATTTCAGCCAGTGGAAATGTCTAAAGCCCCAGAAGAATATGTGTGTCCTTTTGGAGACACAGAAGAGACTAGAAGACAAAAAGAGAAGCTTAAGTGGAGGCTGTGACATGGAGTGGGCATGGTGGGCCTAGATTGTAGAGGTGTATGAATTTAATCCTGTGAGCTGGAAAGAAAAAATTTAATCTGGCACTGATGAGCAGGATGGATCTAGGGAGGGGAGATCATAGAGATACCAGAGGCAGGGAGCCCAACTCTTATGATCAGAGACTGTTATAATAATTGGGGTCATGTTGGGAGAACATGGGCCCAAGTAGTGGCCATGGGAATGGAGAGGAGACATTGAGTGTTGTATACTGGGGATTCCCCAGACTTGGGCCTGCAAGAGTTCCTGGCAGGAAGGACTCACATTCTCTCCAACACAGACGAGGGGGTGTCAGGAGTGGTGGTGAGGAAACCAAGTAAATTAACAAGCCCGTAACTAACACAGTTTTCACAGGTCAGGTGTTGCTGGGAGACTTAGAGGATTTCTACTATGGAAGAATGAGACCCAAGGTTAGAAAAGTTTTCATCTTCCACAGCTAATCCAGGAAGTGTTCCTGGAGAAAGTGGCGGAAGTGTAGAGTAGAAACCATGTAGTCATCCAATTTGTACTAATTTAATAACTGTTTAATATATAGTATGGGCACTGGGCCAATACACTAATATCATGGAGCTTTCTGTTTACTATAGGTCAGCGCAAGGCCTGGATTACACAGTAGCTCCCATGTTTTAAGCTTCTATTTGTGCTAGTCCTTACAGACTGACAATTTTTAAATTTCAGAAGAACCCTGTAAGATGGCATTAGTGTCCTCATCTTACCAGCAATGTTACCAACAAGATTCAGAAGCATAACCTGCCCAGGAAAGGAGTAGATAGTATGAAGCCCAAGTCCCTTGTACCCCATTGCTTCTGGAAGGCCTGGAACTTCCACTGATATAGATAAGTCATTTAGTTACTTTGAGTCTCAAAGATGGGCCAATGAAATAGTTTTGGCTCTACCACACAGAACAAATGAGATACAAACAAAGGCAAATTATGAGGGTATTACCGTCAAAGGGGAGGACAAAGGGCAGGGCAAACTGGGGGAGAGGGTAAAAGAGCAAAGAGAAGGACTTTGAAACCCAAAGCAGCAGGAGCCTGAGCCTCTTTTAGGGACAGCATGGACTGAGAAAGGAGGACCCACTTGTGGCTTCCTGGGGGCTCTCTACCAGGCTGAAACTGGGGTGGGCAGGGCCAATGCAGTCTCAGAGGTGGTCCAGACACTGATAGGGCTCGGACCTCTTCCCTGGGTCAGATTCTGCCAGAGTTGAGGCCAGGCCTTTTAGGGTGGAGATGGGGGTGAAAACAGATGCTTCCCCACTTCTTCCTTCTTTCTCAGTCTGGCTGAGAATCTGTCGGAGGAAAGTCCCTGGGGTGGAAGGGAAGTGAGAGCTTCCACCCAGAGCCCAGGCAGAGGGGCAGAGCTAGGAGACAGAGCTAAGTGTGGCTTTGCAAGTTGTCTATATTTGCATGCTGAGCTCACTGCTGCTCTTTTTCTCCCTGGAAAATAAAATGACATCATGATGGGGGTTGGCGGTAGAGTGGTATGTTTGGGAAAGGTAAAATGCATACATACATACCAAAAACACAAAGGGGCTGGCTGACTTCATCTTAGACAAAGATTTGTGGCTCCAGGTCCAGCGAAGGAGGCCCCAGTATTGCTTCTGATCCCCACCCCTACCTCCCACCCTCACCCTGCAACGTGGATAGCCTGAGTGGTCATTACCTGTGATCATAAGGTTGAGGTACAGGTTTTTCCAAAGTCAGGCAGCTAAGAGAACCTAGAGGCTAAAGGCCTTCCAAACCCATCAACTCTACCGTACTCTGTGCCTCCCAGGGTCCCAGCCATTGTACTCATCGTAAGGTCACCAAGGGAAGAGGGTGTCCCGGAGGAAAAGAATTAAATCTGGGAATCTGGTGTTGAGGTTTAGGAGAGGACTTAGCGTCTCTCCCAAGAGTCTTCCAGATCCCCAGACCCTCGATCCCAACAACCCCCCCCTCCCGCCGCTCCCTGCTCCTCCCCGGCTCTGACGTCACGGTCAGCCGGGTGGGGCAAGGCAGTGCTGGGCTCTGGCTCTGCGGGCGGAAGCGGCGCCACGGCGGGAGCCGAGGAGAAGGCTCCGGACGCTGCTCAGGAACCCGGGACGCCGGTGTGCCCGCGCCCTGCGCACTCAGCCCCAAAGCGGTGAGAGGGCGCAGAGCGGACATGTCGCGTGGAGGGGGCTGATTTGGGGTCTGGGCTTGGGGGGGCGTGGATCCAGACGCCTGGGCAGGCGGGGTGGTGTGGGGCCCGGGGCGGATCCGCTGGGTCAGTGCCCCCCCCCCTTGCTCTGTCCCGGCGGGGAGCCTCAAGTCCCTACCAGCGCCCCGCGCTCGCGTGGGCCATGCAGTGCCTGCGGACTAGCGGCTCGGTGTTCGTACAGGCCTGCTTCCCGCCCAGCCGGCTCGGAGGCCATGCTCTCCTCTTTTTGGCTGCAAACTCGCCTCAGGAGCAGCCAGCCTCCCGGCCCAACCCGCCTTGGTTTCCCGGCAGCCCCGCCGGTACCTCGCGCTTCCCACTCGGCCTTCTGCACCTGGGGAAGAGGTGGGTTTGGCAACAGCTTGTCCGGAGGGAAGGATCTGGGGGTGTAGAGGAGTGAAGTAGCTAACGTAAAACCCCTAATTAATTTCATATGATACGTGTCAAAACCGACAGGGACACACGCCTACAAGAGACACGCCAACACACACGGTGACACACACCCATGTGACTCCTACACACATCTCGTACACGACAGATCGCAAACGTCCCTGTACCGCACATCCAGCCCCCACCTAACCCCACTACCTCCCGCTTTCAAGTCCCCTGGAAGAACAGCAGTCTAACAGGACAGCTGAGTGGGGACACTGTCCCCAAGTCCACTCTATTTTTCTGGGCATCTTCCCCCAGCCCTGGGCTTCAGATTGCCCCTCATTAAAACACTGGGAAAAGATGGGGGGAAAACCCTGGTCTTACTCCAGGACAGGGAGACTGGAACCTGAGGGTGAGTGTGCCTGGAACTCTGAAACTGGGTGAGTAGGGAGAGTAGAGGCTACTGGTGGCCACTCCTGCTGGTTCCAGTTAGAGCCTAGGGTGCTGGGAGTGGCTGGTTTCTGGGCACCGGAGTGGCCTAGGGATGGAGGAGGGGGTGGAAGCAAGGGAGAGGGGGAAAAAGAATGAGTATGAGTCAGCCTAAGGATGGAGCCCAAGTCAGAGAGAGAATGAGGGGAATGTGTGTGAGAGGAACAGAGAGAGTCAGCACACTGGGAGAAGGAGGAAGTGAGAGACAGAGATGGTCAGAAGAGTGGGATGAGTGCTGGAGAGTGGACTACAGAGGCTCAGAAATTAGAGAGGAGGAAAGCAGGATGGTGGTGAGATGTGAGACCACAGGGAGTTAGGGGAAACATGCTGAATCTGTGTGTTTTGTTTCTCTACTGCACGTCTGTCCCCCAGGCTGTCAGAGCAATTAGGTTTACTTGCTCTTCCCTTTGTGGTTAAACACTGAGTTGGGGAAATTGCCAGAGATGCCCTAGGCTGCCAAATGCTCTGGTTGCCTACTTCCTCATTTCCCTGACACCTGTGCCCATTGTGTATGCATGCGTTATCATGCATGAAGAAGAAAGCCACAGAGTCATGCCCTGCCATGCCAGCCCCTCACTCTCTCACACAGATCCTCATGCACAGTGCTACAGGGGACATCACCAACCTGCATGCAGGCAGCCAACCCCGGCTCCTCTGCACCAGACTTACTCTGTCTCTTTACAGCAGGGAAGCTACTCCTTCCTAATAGAACGGTAGCTCTGAATATTTAGTTCGGGACACTGAGTCACAGATCCCAGGAATCCTAAGTGTTCATGGCTCCCACCAAATGGGATAGAATGAAAGCCCACAGAGAGGAAAGGAAGAAGAGGCTGAGAGACCATGGAGAGAGGAAATGGATAAGGAAGAGACAAAACAGAAACAATAGGAACACAGCCAGATGAGGGGGGTGTGGCACAGGCCCCACCCCTTCCCCACTATCAGGTGGCCCTCCTCTGCCCTGCCTGATTCAATGCCAAGTATTTTCTGGTACCCTCATCTCTGTCTGTCTTCTCTTAGACTAAGGACCGAGGGCTTCACACTGCCCCTGTGTCCAAGGGTGACCCATTTTGCTTCTTGGACTGAACTGAACATTCACAGACCCAGGTGTCATATTCTTCTTCATAACAGGAATAAAGATATCCCCCTTCCCCCACCAACAAACACAGAATAGAAGGGAAAAGTCACTTGAATATGATATTAATGGAATACTTAGGGATGAACTAAAGGAATACTTGAATTTGAGGGCCAGATAAAATTTAAAATAGGAACCCTGCGATCTCGCTACTTCTCTGCTTCTCCTTGATAACAAACCTTCCTCCCCTCTCCTTCCCGCATAAGACTGACCGACTTAAGTGTCTATAAGCCCCCTTCCGCCCACTTCAGTGACCTCCAGGTCCTTGCATCTATGTGGGATGGCCCCTCCCCTCAGACTTAGACAGCTGCCACAGATGTGAGTGAGGAAGGGAGGGCAGCAGCTCATAATCCTTAGTCTTTCTTCTTAAGTTTATTTAGGATTTGCAAGTAAATCCTAGGGAGAGGGACTAATCATGAATTAATGTCAGAATGCACAGAAATGATTTTGGTGCTGCCACCTTCTCCACAGGTGGTTATCCCATTTTGCTAGGCTTCTCAAACTGTTCCCAGGCCTGCTTCTTCTCCCCCAGTGCCCATGGAGTACCTACCTGTCATGCTCCCAACTCCTTCCTTAAAAGTTCAGTATATAATGATTCTTACCCTCCACCCCCTTCCCCATTTCAGCGTCCTAAAGTTGGTAGGATCTTTGACAGGGCTCCACCTGGGGGTGGCTTGGAAGGAGAGGAAGGAAGGAAGGTGTGAGGAAGCCATGAGCAGAGCACAGAATGATCTGGGAGGGAAGGGGCTGACTTCCTGGCAGCTTCGGCTCCGGTTCCTGGTTCCTGCCCTGGCATCCTGTCCCAAGAATGGCCTCAGCCAGTCTGCATGGTGTTCCCTGGGCAGCCTCTGCAGTCTCCAGAGATCTGGAGGACTCCTCAGAGCTAGAAGGCCGGGAGACTTTGCTATAGGCCCCTTAAGGATTCTAAATCTTGGTGAGGAAAGTGACATGGAGAGTGAAGAAGCCAACCTTCTGCCAAGACCCGGCATGGCCATGCGCTGCCCCCACTCCACACACAGCCCGTACCCCCAGGTATAATGATCAGTGAGACCTGAGAGCAATGTAAGGAGATTCTACCTCCTTGCATCCCCAAATTTTCCCCCAGACGATCCTGCTCTTGTCTCAATAGGATCTCTCCAGGGAAGGAGGCAACCTGGCTGCCTTTCCCTGCTCTCTCAAGGGGCCTTACTCCTGCTTTGTGCCCAGTGGGTCTTACAACTCCCCACACACCCTCCCATTAAGGGGTGTCATTGTCCTGATGACTGAGGTGGGGGCACCGAGATCAGAGGTTGCCATGGTAACCACTGAGCTGAGGCAGCAGCCTTTTCCTCCTGGACTATGCTCTCCATTCCCCTGCCCCCAGGATTCCTCATTTGAGCCTGTTCTCTTTCCCTCTCCCAAACCCAGCTCTCTTCATCCATTCTGTAGGATACCCTCACCCTTCATCTTTTGTCTGGATGTGAGTCTGTGGTTACCCACCTTCTTACATATACTCCCAGGTAGTTCAGACACATCCATATACACATTTAACTGGCCACTGCCTCCTCCCATGCCTGTGCCCATACCTGGAGTGAACATCCATAGTGGAACCCTGGCGCACACACTTTCCCCTGTCACTCAAACATGCCCACCCCATTTCTCCTTGTATCTGTTTCACTTAGAAAACTCCTACCCACTGCCTACCCCCAGCTGATGTGGGTGAGTATCACACACATTAATCCCACCTCCCTGTAAATCTGTTTTAGATTGAGCCCTAAATCTTAACTCCTCCTAGGAGATTCACACACACACATACACACACACTCTCACACACTCACTCTCTCCTCCCACCAGATCTGTTTACAAATTCTTCCATGTGAAAGCAGGGCGGGATGACCCTAAATTCTGTCCCATTTTCCAGCTGAGTACTTGGTCCCAGTGTCTCCTTCACTACCACAGGTCTTGGGGGCATCCTGCTTCCTTCCCTTGCTGCCCCTCCCTTTTCAGTTCTCACACACCTGCCTCTGTTAGGGGTTCTCATCTCTGGACCTCCTCTGCCATCCCTTTTGCCCTCAAACCCCTTTTCTGGCCTCAGATTATCAGTGGAGGGGGCAGCTGGGCTCCAGAGCCTGCTGCTGTGACCTAGATTTCAAAGCAGACTGGTTCCTGGTGCTGACAGTCAGAGAGCATTGTTCCTGACTCAGCCTGGCAGGGCCATTGCTGGGTCCTTCTGTCTGGTTGCACTTGGTAGTGTAAGTGAGCATGCCTGTAAGTGCCTGTTTCTTGTGGGGGTCATGCTGGCCCTGCTGCCTGGCTCATTGTGTATTTGTGTCACACTGCCTGCCACCAAGGGAGGCTTGTTTGTTCTGGTGCAAGAAGGGGCTGGGTATAGGGACTTCTGGTTCTATGTCTCTTGCTATGCCATGCCTTTCTGCCTGTTTTCCTGCATATAGGCCAGCAATAAGAAAAATAAGGTTATCAACCAGCCCCCTTCTATCTGCCACATTTCCAGCCCATTGTTGGTATGATTTGTGGGTAGTTTCAGTCAAGTATAAGATCATTTAGCTCCTTGTCCCACTCCTTGGTCTAGTCACAGTGTTTATTACATAATTTACTCTTAAAACGGCTTTATTTTTCTGATTATATAAAATATATACTCATTGTGGGGTGGGGGGAACCCCCTTTATAAACTCACTAGAGTTTCGCATTTTATCAAATCCAAAAAGTTCATTCTAAGGTCTGACCTTTCTTTCTGTCTTAGCCACAGTTCCTGTCTTAGTGAGTGGATGGACAGCCTTGAATGCTGTGTATCTTTGACCTACAGATCTTCATGAAAAGGGTGGGGTAAATGCCTAGGTGAGATCTAGCCTTGCCCAGCTGCCTTTGGAGTCTTGCTGAAGGTAGTACCAGCCAGATGTTGATGCAAACCCGTGTGGTAGCCCCCTTCCTGCCACACTCTCCCAATGTTGCATCTAAATAAACCCCTTCCCCTTGCCACCCAGCCAGCCTGGGAACTGGGCAGGGGTCCAGAACCATCTGCTTGGTATTCATGGGCTCTGGGGCCAAAGACAGCACAAAGGCTAGGAGAGGGCTGTATGGAAATCCAGCAGCAATCAAGGGAGAAAATGGGCTCCAACAAAGGTGAGTGTGGGCCCATTGCTCTCTCCCTCCCCACCCCCACATCTTGAACCCTAATGACTGAATACAGGGCAGAGCAGAGGGGCCAGAGGACCATTAGACCAAGCAACTAGGTATTCAACTGAAATGAGTTATGTGTGGGATGGTGGGGAGTTGAGTGAGGGACCCCTCTGCTTCTAGGGAAAAATGGAAGGTAGAACACAAGATTCAGCCAACCACGTTCAGCCCCTTTTTTAGCTTCTTACTGCCACAGTAAGTTTATCCCTGCCTGTGGTCATTGTTTTGGAGGTTTTTTGTTTTGTTTTGTTTTGATGGGGTTTGTTGCAGGTGGGTGAGGTGATTCTGGTGAGGTGGAGGAGGGGGGACTTGGAGGCAGCTGGTGAGAAACCCAGGAGCAGGTTGCTATGGTAACCGCCTCCTCAGTCTGGGGAGCTGTTGCCAGGGTTACTGTTAAAGGGGTAAAAGGAAGAAATAAAGATGGTTGGGGGAAGGTGTGCAACTTGTCACTCCAGGTTCCAGCCTGGTACCTAGCTTCTGAATATCTTGCCTTCTGCTCCCTCCTGGTTTCTGTTTTTTTCGCCTTCCAGCTCTGGCCCTCCCCAACCTCTGTGTTCTAGGCACTTGCCTGGTAGGGTAGAGGAGGGAGTGAGAAGCGTCAGTGAGTGAACCAGATTCCACACTTCAAGCTCAGCCACCTCTCCCTTTGTTCCTCTCAACCCCAGTCATGGCTGAGTACGGGACCCTCCTCCAGGACCTGACCAACAACATCACTCTTGAAGATCTGGAGCAGCTCAAATCAGCCTGCAAGGAGGACATCCCCAGTGAGAAGAGTGAAGAGATCACAACAGGCAGTGCCTGGTTTAGCTTCTTGGAGAGCCACAACAAGCTGGACAAAGGTGGGGGAGGGGACACAGGCATCCTGCCAGCAGCTTTCCTGGGGCTCAGTTCATTCAGCAAATAGAAATGAGCTTCAAGCTCCTGTACACAACTGTGCACTCCTCTCTGACAAGGCAGGGCGAAATTGAGATGCTCTAACAGCTAGGGCCATGGTCTTTACATTCATCAATCTGTCCCTTGTCAGTAAAAAACATTCAAACATAATTGTGCTATTATTGTGTACACTGGAACATTAAAATAGAAGTTGAAAGTGATAAAATTTAAAACCACAACTTCTTAAGATTTTATCCACTTTTGGAGACTACTTCTCTGGGAAGGGCTCTACAGAGGAATTGGTATGTAAAGATGACCTTGAAAGGCAAATGGGATTTCAAAGTCTTGAAAAAGCAAGAGGTACTGCTATGCATAACCTGTATTGGGACATAGGTTATGTTTAGAAGTGGCTGGAAAGGTAAGTTAAGGCTATGCCGTGAGGGGTCTTGGGAGATAGGGTATTTGATAGGTGAGGTGAGTAACCTGAATCTGAGGAAAGCTTGGGTAGCTGGGAGGGAGGTTGAGGAGGATGTTAGACTACTGTAGTAGTTAGAGGGGAGGAACAAGGGAAAAGGTCTAATGGTGCCTGCAATCTTCTAGAACTGGCCAAGTCATGAAATCATCCTCTGGTCATGGCTGTGCCTTCTCTCATTCATAGTTGCTTTTCTCACTAGGCCCAGAAGCTGCCCTGGTTGTCTAGAGATCCACTCCTCCAGTCCCACCTGTGCTATCAGGAAATTTTTTCTGAAGCTTAGTTTGAAGAAAAGTGGAAGAGGGACAGGGTATGTGTGGGAGTACTTGGAAGGCCAGTTAATTTTTCTATTCTGCCTTCCCCCCAAAGTCGGATGTGGTATTTAACCTAAATCCTTCATTCTAATTCATAATCTAGAAACTTCACTGATCAACCATCTGCCCTTCTTAGGAAGTCATCTGTACTGCTCTTTGGTGCCTTAGCTTTCTTTCCTTGGCTTAGTAGCTCTTCTGTTGTCCCCTCCAATAACTAATGTGAGCAACTGAGCCTTGGTTCCAGAAGCCTAGTCTGGTAGAATATGGGAAGCTGACCTCTAAGGCTTAGCTCTGACGCTCAGTTTCCTGCCCTGTTCTAGACAACCTCTCCTACATTGAGCATATCTTTGAGATCTCTCGCCGTCCTGACCTACTCACTATGGTGGTCGACTATAGAACACGTGTTCTAAAGATCTCTGAGGAGGATGAGCTGGACACCAAGCTAACCCGTATCCCCAGTGCCAAGAAGTACAAAGGTAAGAAGCCGTGCCTTCATTGTGCACTTCTGCCCCTCCCATGAATGATTCTTGGAGTGCTTGGATTTTGGGAGCACAAAGGCTAATGCTCAATGGGCCTAATGTCTCCCACAACTTCTGTCCCTGGACATGTCCCTTTTTGCCCCCAGACATTATTCGACAGCCCTCTGAGGAAGAGATCATCAAATTGGCTCCTCCACCGAAGAAAGCCTGAGCAAGGGGAGGAAGAGGAGGAAGGTTGGACCTTCATAGGACCACTCCCTTCCCCCAGTCTCCAGGGGAGGGGGCAAAGGGCACCCCCCCAAATCTACCCACTTACTAACCTGGTCCTAACCCCCTTACTGTGCGCGTGTGTGTGCGTGTGCGCACGCTCTGGCTGTCTGTCTACGTGTCTAGCTCATCTAGCTCCTCTTCCTTATGAGGGGCTGGGGGTCAGAGGCTGGGGGAGAGAACACTGTTTTCCCACTCTAGGGAAACTATGAATATAGAAATGGGCACATTCCTTCTACATCCCCTTCCTCCACTCTTCTCCCACATCTGTCAAGGGTAAGAGCAGAAAGGACTTGCATTTTCCTGCATAGAGAAGCAGAGGTGGGGGCGAGATGAGATGATCTAATAAAAAGCAGTGGGAAAGAAGGTGAAGGAGCTGCCCATCCCCCACCTGGGAAGGGCACAGAAAAGCCAGAGTTTAGTGTTAGTTCCTGATGCTGGACAGGCTAGAGTTGTTTCCAGCTATTCCTCAGGTTGAAGGGTCTAGGCACCAGCAGGTCTCTTTTTGCGCCCCTCTTATGTGCCCAGGATGGGTATGAGCCAGGGATCTAATGACAGAGGACCACTGGATCCTTTTCTGGCCCCAAAACTCTAACCCAACAGAGCACTCAGTATTAGATACAGCCCCACCCCTGACCTCTGCTCTAGTGAAACTGTGCTGGGAAAATGCCCCACTGAGCCTGAAATGGAGCTAAAGGGCAGAAAGAGGGTCCTTTTCCACTTCTTCATTCCTACTCAAGACTGTTGCACATATTGACCCTGAACCTTGGGAGGTTGGGGAATGAGATCCTTAGGTTTTAACTCCAATTCTGCCCCTGCCTACAGGGTCCCAGGATGGTTATTGTAGAAGACTTTCCCTCTTTACCTGGTCTAGAATACCCCAAGCCCAAAAGAAGGGAAGAAGTTAATTACAGTGTTTTTCTTTGCACTGATCCCAAATTCAATCCAGGAAGGAACTTGATAACCCCACTCCCTCCATATCCCCACACTGTGGGCTTGTGAATGCCTCCTAGCCGAATCACTACAGTACAGTGCCCCCAGCCTCCTGCCTGTCCAAGATGACCCCCCCCGACCGTGCTAACTGTGTGTACATATATTCTACATATATGTATATTAAACCCACACTGCCATGTCTGCCCTTTTTTGTGGTGTCTAGCATTAACTTATTGTCTAGGCCAGAGTGGGGGTGGGAGGGGAATGCCAAATGAAGGGAGTTGAAAAGTCAAATAGCTACATAGTCAAAACTTTTTTTAACTTTAAATTCACATGTAATCTCAAGAGACTATTTACAGAGAGTTTAAGTTAGGAGCTTTTTGGATGTGAGAGCAAAACTCTTAATGGGAGGGGAGGGCTAGCTGTTGGAAGAGGGAGGAAGCCAGACTGGTTGGAGAGTACCTTCTACTCCTAGCCCAGCCCAGCCTTCCTGTCCCCTCTGGCCACTGCTGCAGACACCTGCCTTAACACATGCACCTCGAGTACTCCACAATTTTGCCTTAAAGGACCTTCCCAAGTTCCCCCAGCCTTGTCTGGCTTCTCCCTCTAGAGGGATAATTGTAGAATTGGGAGGGGTAAATGAGCATGAATTGTCCTTCCAGTCAAGACAGTTTATATGAGCAAAGGAGCGAGAGAATGAATATGAATGAGAATGAATAAGGAGTTTTCTGTTAAGAGAGGAGAGGATGAGATGGGGAGAAGGAAGACATGGTCATTTTCAGCAGTCTAATTTCTCTGTAAGGCAAAATAATCTTAAAAGGCTAATCTGCCCTCCCACCCTCTGTACTGCTGTGAGAGTGCTCCGTCCTGTGCTCCTCTGTGTGTAGTGTGCACGGCCTTGTTCTAACCCTGGAATAAAGGTGACTGACCATAACTGTATCTGATTCTAGAATTTATATAATCAGGATTTTGAAGACTTGGAATGACTGGGAAGGGAGCGGGGGCAATCCGTCACTGCAGCCTGCAACAGAGGCCAAGAAAACACTCTTGAAAGATCTCTCTCCTCCCCATCTCCAATGTATCACTGAGCTACGAGACCTATTCCACTTAAAACAGTCTCCAGTTCGAGCCCAAGCACTGGAAATGGCAGATATCCCAGACTGGACTTCCCAAAACTGCAATAAGGGCAGGGCCAGCCACCTACACTGGAAGGAGCAAAAACAGCCCATCAGAAACAAATGGCCCACATATCACACAGAGCAGCAGTCAGGGGTGGGGGTAAAGCTTTACTAAGTGAAAATATACAACAGATTCCAGAGTGCATGGTTTTTAGCCCACTCCATCACCCACCCCATTTGCAACAGGAACACAGATCACTCAGTCACCACACATTCCCTAACTCAGGAAGGAAGTGCAGCAGCTAACATGTGGCATGAACTGCTAGGAAAAGGGGCAAGAGGGAGGAGTGTCTGGGAATTCCATCCTTTCACTCTTCTCTTCCTTTCTAGCCTGTTTAGTAGAATATGACTATCTCAGGATACAGATTCCTGGTTGGGGATGCAAAGAAATAGCAGCAAAAGCACTTAAGGGTAAGAATTCAACTGGGACTTCCATATTCAGTGACCAGTGATAAGACAGGTCTCCAAGACCCATCCACCTTAATTGGTAATCCTTAGATTAATGACTTGTCCCTCAATCACAAGATGTGGATAAGGAATAAAGTCAAACCCAGGAGGTCTTTTCCTATATTTATTCTTCCATTTGGAAGATAGTTGTTGTGGGGTTGGATGGTATAAAGAATCAAGGCAACTCAAAAAACAAAACTAAACTAAACTAAAGCTAAGTGTGTCTTCTGTCACACGTGGTACTAGCAGAGACAGTCTGCAGTGGTAGGACCATTCCTGAAGTCAAAGTTCAGTCAAGTTTTAAGGATGGGCCAGTCTTCGGTGAGAAGAGCCATCCTGGGAACCACCCCCCACCCCAGACTTAAAAGAGGTAGGAGATCTGAGGCAAAGAGCTGATAGCAATTTGTTCCCCCAACCCCAAAACTATGACTAGAGGGCAGGGAAAGGGAAAATTGAGGATCCTTCCATTCATGAGCCTCTTTCTTACCAAGGGGTAAGAAAGTCCTAATCTCCCATGGCTATATACATAGAGGGTAGGCTGACTCCTGGTACCACCCCTATATCATTACTCTGTGTCACTCTCTCCCGTAAGCCCCTTTATTGCAGTCATAGAGAATATGTATGTAGGTATTTAAACTTTAACAATAATTTTAACATATACATCCAAGTTTGACTTGCTTTTTTAATATATTTATAGGTATAAAATTAGGCCTCTAACAGTGATAGGGACAGGGAGATTGCTGCCACCAAACCTTTTTTTGAAGTAACAGAAGAGGTAACACCCTTCCTATTCTTCCTCCACTTCTGCCCCTCCTCCCACCTCCCACCAACCTCCCTCACCAGACCTATTTAGGGGGTGATGAGATGAAGAGAAGACAGTAAAGGATACATAATCAAGTGCAAGACACTGTGATAAGTACGGAGTACGAATGGGTGGAAAGGAAAGTGAAGTGCGGGATGGTTAGGGGCTCTAAGGACTTCCCAGAAAAACAGGATCCTGGGGTGGGGTGGGGGGGTGGGGATAACATAACTGTCATAGATTTTTTTAAAATAAAGGGGGGGGGGTCAAAAACCTAAACCAAAGAGAGAGTGGCACTTCTACTACCACCACTACTCTGGCTCCTTGGTACTGAACAGCCAGTTATATCCCCAACCCCCCACCCAAGAAACAAGGAAGATTAAAGAAAAGGAAACGCCATTCCCTATCCCAAACCAGTTAACAAAACAGGTTCCCTCTCCCCCATCAACAGGCTTTGGGGAGAGGCCATTTCTACGGAGTTCTATGCACCTTTCCATGGAACCCAATTCCAGGCTCAACCCCACTCCTAGGTACTCTCTGTAGGTTCACTCTTCTCTGGTTTATCCTTCTCCTGGGATATCTTTCTTTTATCTAAAGCAAAAAGTCCAAAGTGCATTTCTGCTGAATGTAAGGGCCTAGGACAAGAAAGGGCTCCCAGGCAGAATCAGGTCGGCAGCCCCAGCCTGCCCCTCCTGGGTACGAGGCCTCAGGATGGCATGCACTGCACCCGGTCCGGGCCCTCCTCCTCGTCCGAAGTGTCTGAGGAGCTGGGAAACTCATCAGAGTCTGCATCTGTAGCCCCGACCCCAGGATCTCGCCAGCGCTGTAGAATGGGAAATGCTTGTTAGTAACTGTCCTGGAATGACAAATCTGTTGGTCTTAGCTATATAATTCAGATGCTCTAGGCCGGGGGTCAGAATTTTTCTTAAAGGAAGAGACAACAGATACAGGGTCTGGCACAAATAACTCACCGTTTTTATAAGCTGGTTATCTATACCAAATCTTTTATTACAAAATCATAATCATATAATTCTATAACATAATATCACACTCAAGAACACCGTATGACATTTTAGGTGAAATGTTCAAACTGCAGTCCATCTCATATGAGATATTCATGTACCTTACCAACCATACTCAATGGCATTATTTCTGCTGGACCCTGTATTTTAGACTCATGGGCCATGTGTCTGTCCTAACTATGCAATTCTGCTGTTGTAGTGTGAAAGCAGCCATAGACAATAACTAAATAAATGGGTGTGGCCGTGTTCCAACAAAACTTTATTTACAAAAATAGGCAGCGAGCCAAATGCCATAGTTTGCTAATCCCTACCCTAGGCCTCTTCTGGCATGAGAGGAAAAATAGAAGGGTTACCCTAAGACTAACTCCTTTTCAACTCCTTTCCCCACTCATGACTTTGCCTTTATGAAGACAGCACTGTGCATGTGTGGTGATGGAGAAAAAAAGCAGATACCACCCATCTCTGCTGTTGGCTCTTCTGAGGTTACCTCAGAGCTCTGATGGGAACGGGGGACAATGACTAGGAAACCCAACCAAGACCACCTGATTCCTCTTTAATGCAGTGAGGAAGTGTGCACTGGAACTTGGGAGCTCACTTCCCACTCCAGCTTACCCGGTGATGGCGTCTCTGTCTCAGGTGATGCATGAGGAACCAGAGCATGTGGCTATCAAACAGGTCAGTGTGGTGCAAACTATCTTCATCCCGCTCCCGCTTATTCTTCTTAATCACCTGGAACCAAGAAGGGTTGGGGACATGCAGGGTACATCATGAATAGGGACCCTGGACCTGATGAGAAAAGACTGTGTTCTGTCCCAATAAAGACTTCCCTTAGGAACTGTTAAGCTGAAGTGGAGCTAAGTTAGATTAGGAAAGAGTGCCCCAGGTCCATCCATCAAGAAGGTGGGAGGCTTTAAATAGAATGATTCTTCCTAAAAATGTCCCCTATCCCCAATCTAGCATGAACTAAAAGCACTTCAAAGCTTTCTGCTGGAATGGGACTGTTCCTAGATGGGCAGGAACAGGAATGTGTGTGGGAGGGAAGTGTGTTAGAGCAGTACCTTTGACACAATGGGCAGCAAGTTATTCCTTCCTATGACGAAGAAAGCTCCTAAGAGTATGCAGATAAGTAGCAAGAAGAAAGAACATGTGCAGTCAGCTACTTACGTCCTTTAACCCTATAAGTTCTGTGGAAGCTTCAGCTGTGGGTGCCCAGATCTTGACATCATGGTCTAGGCCACTGGTTGCCAGCACAGGAAGATGAGGGTGGGGCTCAAGACAGTTTACCTGGTTAAGAGGAAAGGGAAGCAGGCTCAGGGGTATGTGGGAATAGGGTTTAAAAACCACTCCTCACCTTGAGCTAAACAACTATCCTCAATCAGGCTGAGGCAGCTACTAGAAAGGCAGGCTCACTCATTATGAGGCTAAACCAAAGAGCCGTGGAGATGGAAGAAACCCTGGACGCAGACTGGGTATAAGACCAGGCCCATTTCTCATTTCCTATGTATAGGTGGGGTGGCCTCATCCCCACACATAGCCCTAGTGGTGGGCAAGTGACTGGCCAAGCTTACTGCTGGCTTCAGAAAAGGTAACGAGGTTCAGATGACTTCATTCACTACAGATTCCATAGCTCCAACTTGCCCAAGGCTGGAAAAACCCATCTCAGGTGCTGTCACCAAGTGGCAAATATATTTTTAAAAATGAAGAAAAGCAGCAGCTGCTGCTGAGCTCCAGAGAAGGATCAGAGGACAATTACATTCACTTGGCACTGTTTACGTGAACTTGAGGAAGGCACAGGCTGGGAAGAGGCTGAGGTGGGGAGTTGTAGGGTAGTGGAGGCACATTCATTCATGTCTGCTTGGGAACCCTGTGCATCTTAGGGAACAGCATCCTGATACCTTCCCTGAAACCATAGTATAGTAGGCTTAGCTATAGGGTGGCAGAGTATTATCAGGGCAGTTTCTTGGGGCACCCACAGCCTCAATCTCAGCAACCCTTTGGGTGTATTTACTAAGAAGAGATGAACTAGGGCAGGCAGGCCTTAGGCAGCTTCCTCTGGTCCAAAGACCCCCATGCCCAGTTGTCAGACTTGGAAACTTCAGCTTTCCTAACAGGGCAGGGCTGGGCAGGGCAGGGCAGCTACCATCCCCACCGAAGTACTGGTCCAGATCTAGCTGCTAAAACATCTTTAGCTTTTTAGTCAGATGAGGAATAGATAGGAAAGACACTCAGAATGAAAAAGGTGTGGTCCTAGCCACGCCTCATCTTGCCCCACCCAGCCTTGTAGCTGCCCTACAATCCAAGAAGAAAACTGCTGGCAAAAAGCCCCTCTCAGTTCTCTCTGGACCAACCTTCTCTGCCTCGCCTGACCTTGCAGAGCAGCCGAGGGGACGTTGTGGCCAGCATGGAAAATAAAGTTGACCTACAGATTTCAAATCTTCTTTGTCTTCTATTTTATAAATAAATGCTCAGAAAAGATAGTAAAGTAGAAACTCC